ATTCCATGGCTATCCTAACCCTTCGGGCTTCCCTATTAACTATTTAGTCAGCCCTTTCATTGTATTCGACGCTTGAATGTCCTGACTCTCAAAATAGATGCACTTCATTGCGCTTCCCTAGCTCATTCAGCATTTGAAAGCACTCCGCTTATTGCATTCCTTTTCGGGGCCTTTGGAACAGCTTGACTGTGAATTCAATGTGGTCCCTTTGCTCCCTTCTGCTTCACCTTTTTTTTTAATAACAATAAAATATCATACGACTCTTCAAAATAAGGGGAGCTGTGGATCCCTGTTCGCAATGCAAAAAAATGCAAACAAACCAAAAGCAGGTAGTGAACTGATTTGCTAATGACCCTCCATCGTCCTGTTTCAACTACATGTTTAAGATCACAAAGGAAGGGAAACTAAGACTGGACATTTACTTTATTGGATAAATTTGATAATTCCACAGATCACGCAACTCTCAGCGTTTTTTCAGTCTTCCGAAAAACTCAAATTTGAAGATCTTTTCCTAAAAGGGCTAAAGTAGGTATCAACTTCAAATTCGGTTCAATTATTAGGCTTAAAAGAAGAGTTCTCCCTTAGAGGGTTTAATAGGTCCGCAATTGATTGAAGATTATTTTAGTTAAAGTATCCAGGATTTACTTCACACAACAAATATATCTTCTTTCTTCTTTTTCTTTTCCACGTACAGAATATTTATTTGCGTTGCCATCAAAAGGTTATTTAATCATTAAAGTGCAATTTAAAAGTCGAAAGGAGGACCCAGACATGTAAGCTATTGGCTTACTCTATCTCCACTCAACAAACCAAACAAAAAAAAAAAAATTCAATTTAAGTAACGGGAAATATTTACTGTCCCTTCTGCATTTTGAACTTTAGAACAAAATACAACGTGAGCTTGGAACGTTGCGTAAATAAAATCAAAGGAAAAACTATTGTGTTTTTTTTTTTTTTGTGTGGAGTTTAAAAAAGGAACGGCATTAAGACAAAACTTTTTATACAAACCTCAGGTGTTTTTGTTCGTCTTCGACAATTCATTAGATCAAAAACATGATGATTCATTGTGCTGAGTAATCTTAGCCGTCTTATTTCCCTAATTTAAAATTATATAAAAAATTTGGGCGTTTGCCTTTAATTTAATTTAATTTAGCAGCGATTTACTTGAGAGTTTGTTATCAAATTTTGATTAAATATTTGCGTTTCTTTTTCTGTCTGTGACTTAATTGTTGATCAAAATAATTGTCAATCATTTTAAATTTTACGACATACTTATATGAATTTTGTTTTCTCATTTGATTAAACGACCAGAAAGAAAACAATTAACGGAACTAAGATGTCAGATGGTGTTATCTCCAAAAATGAGAAATCTATGCACGACATACCGTTGCCGGAGGCTGCCGGACGAGGTATAGAGAAGCAAGATACAGTTACGGAACAATTGAAAGCGAAAAGTAGTTCGTTGAAGCGCTTCTTTAAAATGCCGCAGAAACGGCATCCTGATTACGTTGAACCGGATTCCAGGCGACCTCAGTCGCCGAATGACGAAATCCAACGGAAAGAGGACGAAAGCGAAGATCACGGTCAAGGGCAGTCTAAAGAGCAATCTCAACACAGACGTTTTCCGTTGCGCCTGGGTGGCCTGCAACGTCATAGTAAGTATTGCCGCTTTCTTGCAATTGGAGTAGAAGAGAGATTGGATAATGTTCTATTGTAAACAGCGGGCACTGGCAGCTTGAGTCGTGCGGTTAAATCTGAAACTAATAATATCAACCAAGTTAGCTCAAAGTCAACTTTAAAAAGTTCTTTATCCAGTTATTGGGGTCTTATGTTCAAGAAAGGCAAAAAAGAGAAAAATCCGCCTTTACCAACAGAAGAAACTACCATATCTACCACGGATCTCGATGTCGAAATTCATGAGTCGAAAAAAGCAGATGTACAAAAAATTGCCGAACTGGTTCTTAATGAAGAAGTACACGCCCTAAAAATATCTGAAGAAATAACTGAGACTTGAACTGCTTTATTTTCACTTTTCCTTTCGTCTCTGTTTCCTACATCTGATAGTTCTTGCATAAGGGATAGACGCACTGTAAACCTCTTAATTATATTTGATAAATCTTAAGGTATTTAGTTCGTCTCGACATTTCCTTAGAATCCAACCAAATTCCATCGTTTAACATTTTATTTGTATCTTAAAATACCTCTTTAATAAAAAAAAAAATTAAAACTTGTTTACACGTTAAATATGATCATTTAAATCCTTACCCACAGTTCAAAGCTATAAAGTGCTTAGGTGGAAACTTACACACACAAGTATTCGTATTACCTTACGTTAATATTTAAGATATTTAAACCAGTTTTCGGTTAGTTTCTTTCGTTACTTTCGTCACATTTTTGGGGTTGAATTTTCGTGGGTCGCAAACAATGTGCATTCTCTACCCGAAGGTTCGCATATCAACTAAGCTCAAACCATTGCTCTTCCTCATCAAGAAGCCTTAGAATTAATAATAAAAAAAAAACCCTTGTGATTGTAAAGTTTGTGTGGTGCATTTGTTACGCGGCAATTTGTAAAGCATGTGGAATTTATCATTTAAGGCACGCGAGTAAAAGATGGCCATGGCTACTTTTTACATCTTTGCAAAACTGCTATCAGTTATCAAAAGCAATTTGAAGGCAATCTCACAGATACTAAGTCTAAGTTTGTCTTCAACAAACAAAATTTAACATAATGACAACGGGAAGCGTAGAAACTGGTACTCAAGAGACATCGTATAGCCCAAGAATTGAATGTATCTCGAAAGTTTACTGAAAGCACTTTGGGAACCTCGATGTAAAGAGTAGAGAATCTCTTACTTAAGAAGTCTGTCAATTGGAATCTGCTCAAAGAAGCCCCAACTTCACCTAAAGGTGCTTGGTCCCCCATTTCCGTCAAAGTTCCCTGAAACAGCCCAATGTATTTGGATGTAATGAAGTAATAATAAATTTTTTTACACTCGTCCGATGGGGAATTTATTCACGAAGCATCATAGATTCCATAAAGTATTTATATTCTCTACCAACATCAAAATCTGAACGGACTTAAGCATATTCATCTCTCAGTCTGTCTCTCTGCGTATTGATCATGGTAAACATGGTACAGTCGGCTTCAAGTTTGATAGAAGGATTGGAAGTTCTCGCACGCTGATCGAGATTGAAAATGATTCAGACAATATAAGGAGACGCCCACATTACAATATAAATCAATACGAGAATATCTCGCTTTTTTAACTCTTTGCGCTTAAACTACAGCAGTCACGACAAAAATTTTCATGCGTACTATACAAAAATGTCAATAGCCAATAAGTTACGCTTAGCTGATATTATAGAGCGCGGAAATTTTATTTTCTGGATTTGTTATTGAGTCTTTTTAGTGATATTATAAAGTACGAAACTTCAGTTTGCTTGGTTTTTCCTCCACCCTCTTTCAAGGTGAAGGTGGAGGTAGAGGTGGTGGGTATAAAAGATTCGACCACAAATTCATTTGTAACATTTCTGAATGAGCCTTACACGCAACCACTTTGACGCCCCTTTAAATGTGTAAGTAATTTAATATAAGCTAGAGTGATTGTTTTCCAGGCTATTGTATTAATTTTCAACTCAATCAAATTATTTCGATTTCCCAAATGCTTAAATAGCTTTATAAAATCGAATATATACAGAAAAGTGTGGGCTAAATCAACTAAGAATGGCACAAGAATGTAATGTACAGAATTATTATTATTATCGTTGTAATTATTACAATTTTTATGGACGAATGAAATAAATTCTTAGATTAAAAGAAAAAAAATTGAGTCCTTGTAGTATAGGTTGACGGCTCTATTTAGAAAAAAAGGAAATGAACAATTGTTTTTTATCGTCAGTAATTGTAGTTACGTATTGAGTGTAGTAGTTTTAATAAAGTAATATATTACGTTGATATTGGGTTCCATATTTCATTTAATGATAATCTTCAGTTATAGAGAAGATGCTTTATTGTTTATGGATTGGAGAACAAGAATTTTTAAGGATTAAGAATTTTAAGGTTACAATCTCGCAGATATTTTGATCTTAATTTTGTCAGGTTTAGTTGCACATAACGAAGGAATTAAGTGAGAGTTAACAGTTAGCGATAATGCTGACGATAGTGATACTGATTTGCTTTAGTTAAATAGTTTTCTCTTTAACTTTCCTTCCAATGTATCTTTGCCGGTCCCAAGGTGTATAAAATTAAAATTTCAAGGTTTTCGGAATAATGAAAGTACACGGAATAATCACTTAATTACGTATTACATTTAGAGAAATGACGTTTTTCCGCACATTTTATTCCACTCATCCTCCTCGAGTGGAAGAATGCTTTTGTACTCCATTCAAGTCTACAATATTTTTGGCTACATTTAGTTCTTACCTAGTTCGATTTAGTTTTTTGCTTGGTATGTTAGGGGAGAAAATTTCGCACTCTATCGAATGCGATGTTCTCGTGATAATAGGATGTGTGGATTAGTGAGCAAATAACTTATTCTTTAGTATTGTTCAATTGATTGGAGGAATTTTCTATCAGTTTAAGCCGAATTATGACAAATGAATATCTATGGCCTGCCACACATGTTTTTTGCATAAGCAATGAAGGACGCTACCTGTTTGAGCGGCAAAACTTAAGGGATAACCAACTTATTGTAGGAAGAGTGGGGAGAACAGAAAGGAGTATGCAAAGGAATGTAATAAGGAAGGGCCATGAGAAAAAGTACAGCAACTCGCACGCACCGCCACCATATGTGAATGCAGAAGAAAACACACTTGTTGCTTAACCGGCATAAGCAGCCGGCCGGTCAAAATGTAAAAAACGAATCCAACCATCTGTTGCATTCGCTTATTTTGATCACATAGAATTAATCGATTTTCCTAGCTTTTCTGCGCATATACCATTAGAGCTGAAGGTAAAGTTTTGTATTTTAGTTTAGTCTTTAGTGTAGAGAAATTTTCACTTTTGCAGAATCGCTGAAGATATTGTATTGTGTGCTGGTGTTTTGACCGAAAAATCGTAAAAAATTGCAAATTTATTAAAAAAAATCACAAATTTCGAGGTAAATTTAATGAGATTTAAACAAAAAGAAAAAAACGGGAGGACTTCATATAAATGCATGCAAAAGAGGTTTAAATTTAAAATAACTTTGAATAAATTGTGTGAAAACAGGTCAAAGGAGCAGTTAGTGAGACTCCCAAAGACTATTCTTATGTAATTGCATGAAAATTCCTAAGCATATTTGCATGTGACTGTATATTCATCTGCAGTTTTGTTAATTATTACGCTTTCTTTCCATTTTAGAATGCCAAGTCCCTCGGCAGCAGCTTCGGCAATGCTAAGGAGTTGTCTGATATAATGACTGGTAGTTTCAAGGTGCAACTCATCAATATGGGTACTCGTGCTGCTGCCTGTAAGTACTCCGGCTATAAACATTTTATGAAATTTATTCAATTTCCTCAAAACATTGTATATTACTTACAGTTCAGGCAAAGTTACGTTGCCTTCACGAATATCATGTACGTCTTTTGCACAATATTTTACCAGCACCCTCCGGCGTCGATATCGCTAATAATATTAAATACTTTTCTCAAACTCTCCTAAGTAAGCTCTCTAACTGGAATTCACTTCCAATTCTCTAAAGAAAATAAAAATTTCATATGTTTTTTAGCTGTCCTTAAAGATGTACGCACTTCTCCACACGATCTTATACGGGATCCCTCTGAAGATCCTACCCGCATGTCAGCCTATCCAAATCTAGAATACGGTAATCTCTATAATGCTTTAACTATACTTATTGATGTGGCACCTTGTATACAATATGGTCAAATAGGTATGTCATTGTTATCCAAAAAAAAAACGAAGGAACATCAATCATTAAATATGAATTTTTTATTGCTTTCAGTTTTCGGTAAAGCTCTGCTGCAATGCCTGTGCTGTATTTTGCCATTTTTGGATAAGGATTTAATTGATAATTTGCCTTATCTGGCTAGTTCTACGATCTCTGTCTTACCCCCCGCTCTATACCAAGATATTGTTAATGCTCTCTGCTATTATATCTTACCCTTTACTATAAGTACATTTTTCAGAAAGTGTATGAAAACTTTGACATTTTGAAACTTTTTTCTTCCTATTCAGCTCGTAAAAATGCCGATGAACAGGAGTCGCAAGCATGTCAATCGGTGTCTTCAGTTATTATGATGATCTTGCAATATTCTAACAATCCAGGTATAATTTTGAAAATAATTTCTCCCTCGCTCTTTCCCTCCTATCTCGTATACTCTTTTAGCTCACCATTGTCAGCTTCTAGAATGTTTAATGACACTAAAACACAATGTGGTTAAGGATATATTATGCGTCACTGCCTATGGTACTTCAGCTGCGCGTTTTGCTGCTGCTAAACTGCTATTTTATTATTGGCCAGCATTTGATCCCAATTTATTTGATCGCAAAGTTTTACTATCAAAATTAACAAGTAATTTTATATTTATTCATTTGTTTCATCTCTGGACAAGACTGATGGAAAACTTATTCGCTTTTAGATGATTTAGTTCCATTTGTTTGTCAACGTGAGCATTGCCCTAACTCTGGTAATGCTGAAGCCGGTAAAGTTTGCTTTGACCATAGCATCAGCATTACTTATGCTCCGGACTGTCCGCCTCCCTTGTATCTTTGTATAGAATGCGCTAACGAAATACATCGCGAGCATGCGAATCTCACATTTGGCGATATTCTACATCCTATGCAGCAAGTCTCGATGGTGTGTGAAAATAAAAACTGTCGCTCCACCGAGAAATCGGCTTTTTCTATTTGTTTTTCAACTGAATGCGCTAGTTACAATGGGAATCATCCTATACGTTACTGCGCTCAGTGTCATAGTAATCGTCATAACTCACGTCGTGGAATAGATCACGTTGTTCATCGAAGTTTACCCCCGGCCTGGCAGATGGACGCTGAAATGCAAATGCATATGGTTGAGTGCGTAATTAGTCTACTAAGAGAAGCTAAACCGCTAAATTTTGAACCAGGCAAAGAGTCTGCAGAGATGAAGAAGAATGGCAGCAGTGGGTCTACAGCGGGAACAGCATATGCGCCTAACGGCTTAGTGCCTGATAACATATCACCCGAAGAACGGCAGCAATTGGGTCGGTACGGAATTTGGTTGCTAGTAGGCCGTTGTTCACCTACAGCAGACACGCCAGTAGAAATATTGGGTCGCATTTTAAGTATGCTTTTTCATTGGTTCCATGTTACGGCTTATTCTTACGATGCAGGACAAATCGAAAGCACAATCGAGAAACTTAAAACGGATCATGTTGTGGGATGGCTTAAGGAAATTTGCCGAATACATTACAATGTGGGTTCACATTAAAGCAACTCTAGGTTTCATAATACAGTTTTCATTTCCTTCGCAGGTTTTCATTTCTTGTCTTTTGCCGCATCCACCTGAATACGCTCGCGTAGGTGGTCATTGGGAGACATTGGCTTCACGCACTTCTCATCTCAAGGAAGGTCTGCAACGTCTAATCTGCCTTGTACCGTATGAGGTAATAACTTCCGAAATTTGGGACTACGTTATGCCGCATTGGATGGAAGCGATTACAAACGATGTGGCGGAGAAAGAATTAAATGATTTAAAAATTGTTTTAAGCAAAATACTAGATCCCGAAATGTCTCCATTAGGCTTCGATGCAAAGACCATGTATAATTTCGTTGCTATACGGTTTGAAAAGACGACTGCCAAGGTGCAACAGCAAGCTTTGCACTGGCTGCAGATACTCTCGAAGCTAGGAATTTTAATACCTTTGAATCAACTATTTGCTATGTTCGAAGACGGTGTACGAATAATGAAATATGGTATACAGCAGGAGCTGATGCGTGAAAAAGAGTGCAAAGGGGCAGCAAAAACTGCCCCAAAAGACGGCAAAACTGATGTAAACAATCCACCGAGACGCAGTTCAATATGTGACCTTACAATATGAAATTAATTGCTAACGTGAGATAAGAATTGAAAATTTTCAGCTCCTGTGGTAGAAGATGATTCCGGCAATACTTCAGCTATTTCAGATGATGAAGCGCCTACGAATAGACACACCGAGTTTTCTACGGACGCTGAGCATAACCTTACATGTTGCATATTAATGTTGGACATACTTCTCAAACAAATGGAGCTGCAAGATATAGAACAGCATATGGGCATATATACCTCTGTTTGTGAGAATGTGTCACGTTTATTGAAATGTATGGTGACCGCGGCGCGTGTAGGACTTAGCAGTCATGTATGCTCCTTGAAGGTAAAGAGCGGATAGTTTTCCAAAGCAAAAAAAACAATAAACATTTTATTTTAGGAATGCGCCTATTGTGAGGCTTCCATAATGTGGCATCAATTGTCCACTAAGATTGTACAATTTATGGCCCCTTTAAATCCTTCCAGGCCTCCCGATGTACGTATTTCCATTTACATTCCATTAAATATATGGTTTGTTGTAATTTTTGTGCGTTAATGTTCAGCTACCTTTGGAAGATATAATTGAAGAGGAGAAATCTTCGCGCAAAAGTCCCCCAGAAGGTGATAAAGAGAAAACTAGAGAACGCGATGTTTCTCTTTCAATGGCTCCTTTGCCCATACCATTGGGACCTCTTGGAGGCTTTTCAGGTATTTGATATAAATCATTTTAAAAAATTAATTAAAGCTAAGTATTAAAAATCGAAAAACTTAAATCCTTAAAAATCCTCAGTAAATTGCTCTCTTTAAATATAAAAAGGAGAGAATAACTCCAACAGTCCGTTAGCTTGATCTATCGAACGATGATTGCGTCTGAGTATATCCCGAATTATGAACTAACCAGTAGCTATTTTATGTCCTACCGCAATATCTAGAATAAAAAATTCATATTAAAAGCACTTGTAGATATTCCGAAAAGTTTCTGATCTAAGCTAAATAATTATTGATTTAAAACTAATGAAAATGATCCAATTTATAATCCTCTTCATCACGCTCTCTGACAAACAATTAAATAAAAACCTATCATTGTGTTGTGGTAACATAAAAAAAAAAAAAAAAAACAATTGAGTAAAAAACTGTACTATCTCTGAACTATATTAAATCTATCTTAAGCTGTAACTAATAAACTTTACTCTCTTTCTCTATCTATATCTTTAAACTACATTATACGTATAAATGTCTACTCTATGTTCTATCTCCCAATGTTCTGTATTTTTCAAATTTATGTACATTTTTCTCTGACAATTTCTACGCAATTTAAATATTTAAAAAAATTATTAAAACACTCATTAACAACACGATGTTTCTTAAGCTCACGCTCCATACTTTACAGACGATGGAAAAATTATTATTATGGCAGGTGAAGCATAGCCAAACATTAAACGAAAACAATAATAATAATAACAATAATAATAATAATAATAATAATAATAATAATATAGATAAGAAAAACAGTGACAAAAACGATTCATAATATTTGTTTTAAATTTCGAATTTTAAAATTTCTCTAAAATATTGCTTTAATAATATTTTATTGTAATTTCTGTCTTTTCTTTTTTCTGCAAAATACACCCACCACAACTATTCAAGACACTACAGTAGCTGCATACTCGCAACATATATATCTCTTTAAGAAAATTTTCATTTACCTCGACTAACAGGTAGACGCGAAGAAGTTGCCCGCGGACCTGAAACGCTATTGGGAAAGGGGTTTTGGAACGAAATGATGCCACAAAAATATCTTCGGATATGAACTGTGTTCAGATTAGTATTAGGAACAACCAGATACTCTGTCTGGCAAAGAAATCGATTGTCAACGCCTTAAAACATGAAAAGGGCGCTATGAAGCCGAGGCGATTTACCTAGCAAGTCAAACAAACAAGCAAAAACATTATAATCGAGAAAGCTTGACCATTACATACCCTATACCTTCTCTAAGCATTGTGGTCCGTTCTTTACAGATTATTTTCATGCAAAGGTATACTTTCCATTGGAGGCCCGCATATTGGGGGACGCCCGAAACATTTCATGATGGGATCCAAATTTTGAAAATTTAATTTACGTCCTAAAAATTATATCATCTATCAATCTCCGTCACAAAGAGGTAGAAATTCGAGTTTCTCTCCATATAATGGGTTGATCTTTATCGTAACCCCTATTGATTAGAGCCTAAAAAATATGGGATGCCAGTTCACCAAATTGCTACTAAGCACCACTTTTCATCATAAAGTATTCTGAAAGGCTTACTTTACATGAGCCATCTTATCTGGAGTAAGGTCGAAGAAATATAACCATGTAGTTCAAATTTCGTCCACTTAATTTTTATGAATAAATTTTCATGATGAAACATTAATAATTTTGGCATATAATGGTTTACATTTCCTGAGAATCCTTATATACGGCGTTGTACGTGGCTGTCTACAAAGTAGAACGATCCGAACCATTTTCAATAGTGTTCGTGTTTGGGTCAAATTTCACCAAAATATCTCAAAAACTGCGTCCTGTAGGTTGAACACAAAATATATGGACAGGTCTCAGACGGACAAATGGACAACGAGCTTAGGAAAACAATTGGAAAGCAATTGTGATTCCGGGATTCAAAAAATGATTCTGAATCGATCAGTATAACAATAAAAGGATGGTCTAGCTTAAGCCTCCCTTGCTTACATAAGTCAAAGTATCTAGTACTACAAGCGGTGTAGGCTATAAATATAGGGCCAACGTAAGCAAACGGCAAAGTAGAATTTATCGAACGACGCCGGATATCGCTCGAATGAACTCTTTAGGGTCTATTTGCATTTCCTGTTACTGTCGTCTGTCTTCTTTTTTCAATTTTTTCAGTACACTTATTATGGTTTATAAAATATGTGACTATGGGTAGCATATGACACTCTCAGCTTTTCTTTTCGAAATATTTCTAGTTTTATTTTGAAGAGTAATTCACTTGCGTTTCTCACGATTTTTTTTACGAACACATGGAAAACGCCTGCCTTTCCATCTTCCGCTCCACATCCCAGAGAATTATTCTTCCCCTTATTTTCTCTTGTCAAATCATAATCTTCCTTGCCAACTCGTTGCCCTGAGTCCAATGTCTGCTCTGAAGTTAAACAACATAGTCGTTAATAAATTGCATGTCGAGCCAGATGAGCCAAAAATATAGTACGATCGCGCAATACCGTTATAAAAAGTTATGAACAAAGTATTTTCGACGCCTTTTAACCGAATCGATGAAGTTTTACGAATTGATGATTTTCATAAGTGGATGATCTGAAATTTTTTCGACACTAAAGTTTTTCACTCCAACACAACACAACAATACCAACAAACCTTATTTAATTTATTAAGTTCAATATTTTTTGTCCCAATGAAAATATTGTACACGAACTGTTTACATGCGATTTGAAAATGAAAATATTCTCTAAAACAAACAAGACCACTTAATTATTTTTTTTTAGTTGACCAATCACCCAGGTTATGTCCACTGCTCGTATAATACTGTGCCTGGAGGAGAGAGAAAGAGACAGGAAAGTAGAAGTAGCCTAGTGGGTCGATAGGTGTTACGCTTTTATTGACTGAGCACTCCCTATAACTACGACGAAAGTAAACGCTACCGAGTTGAAATTTGAACCCGCGAACACTGACTTGATAATCGCGATTCTTGCCGACAATTTGTTAACAACAACGCATCCTTGTATGTCAAGCTATAAGATTTTAAATGACGGATGTATGACATATGACGTATAACCTGTAAGTTTAGAAATCTGACAACCTGTCGCCTTTCCCTCTTCTTACCACATTTGACGAAAAGTTATTTCGCTTGAAAGCGAGGGTTTGTCATTTCTCTTCTGCTGGGACGCACCCAGCACCTGCTTCCTCCTACAGCAAATATGTTCCTCAATAGGATACAATTTTGAGATAGCATGACATGACATGACATCTACCCATCTCTTGTCTCCGCATGTGGGGACTTGACAACGTGGCGGTTATTTTCGATTCGCATCGAAATCGCTTTCAAATGTGTTTGAAAACAGTTTCTCTTACCCAAAATCAAAATCTATATTTATATCGTGTACAATATTTTCTTGAATTCATTTACATATTGTGTGTATGCTTGTTTCCCAAAAAAAAAAAAAGCATGTGTTTAGAATTTTAGAATAGTTAATCCTATAGTACTGTATGTGGTAAATACTTTCAAGTTCGTTTTGTTCAATCTGCAAGAATGATTTTCTCACTAACTGTATCAAGTAATTTTGGTTAAAAGCATGATATGTGTTTTCTTTGAGAATGCATTGCTTGGTCCAACGAAAAAATATATACCGAAATTCCTTTTAAGCTCCTTTATGAAATTTTCTCAAATTAGTGTCAAGAAGTTGTTGCTTACGTTTATTTAAAAAACTGTTTATTAAACAGGCCCCGTTCCTGTTGCTGTGCCACAACCGGAACCTCATTCGGTTGGTGGTGTCTTAGTGCACATGCCACACGTTTGTTCAGTAAGTAAATTTGAAAAAGTTTTCATTTATCTGTTTATCTTATGTTTGCGTTCGAAGTTTACATGTGTTTAAAAGTCACTATAAACAGTTAAAAAACGTTTAAAGAAATTCTTATATCATCTGCATAGAAGTACGATATTATGGAGTTAATGACGTATAATATTAACAATATACATGTAAAAACAGAAAAACAAAAAAAAAACAAAAAAAAAAATTTGAAATTTTTTTTTATTATTTTACCGAAAGAAAAAATTTGAACGAAAAATTTTAATCTTCCAAACAAAAACAAAAAAAGAATTATGAAAAAAGAAAGAATTTGTTTTGTTCTTATTTTTTATATTTACAAAATGTTGATAAAATTAATCATTTGTAATATTTATTAATTCTTTTATCCTATTTTTTATTTATTCATTTAAATGACGTTTTTCTAAAATTTTTGATTATAGAATAACAGTAACGGCCAAACAATTGAAACAATTGAATTGAGAAAAGTTCAAGCCACAGACGAGGTACTTTGTGCAAATTGCTCTAAATTCAAAATTTCTCGAGAATAAAAAAATATTATTAATCAGATGAGAAAAATAAAAAAAAAAAAATAATAATATGATGTTAGTTTTCTCTTTTACTTTACCTTATGTTTATAACTATTCTGTGTGTGCAAATTTTAGTTTTACTCAAATAAGAAAAAAACTTTATTCGTTTTATAGCGAATCTCTTGATTACCCAGCATCTGAGTTTTGCGCCGCAATCAAACACATTCGTATGTGTCACCACGAGCTAGTCGCTACTCATGTACGTGTAACCATTTTTTGTGCTTATAACTAAAACTTAGTCGGATTCGGAGATAATAGCTAAAGGCCAAAGAAAAAGGAAGAAACAAAGTAACAGATTAGGCGGTAACCCCACCCTAATAGCAAAGAGCATCTCAAAGGGTACGCAGGATTTTTCTTTTTGATTTTAACTTTTTCATTGAATCGCAATGTACCTAAGACGAGATTATGTCCGGAATAGCACATCGGACAAAGGGCCTGCTGAGCAAAGAGCTTCGCTTGCACATAGGTGCTCTTTTTTCGAAATTTTCTATGATTATTTTGCACAAATGTGGCTGAATGTTGTTGGAACATCTAAATAAGAATATTTTATTTGGAGTATTTATTTGGGGTGTAAGAAAAGTTGATAGAAACGCAATGTTAGAGGAAACCTTCAACCAGCTAACTGCGGGTAACGACCGGTTAACTCTGGACACGTAACGAAAAAAGTCCAAAATTTTGCATAATCCATTACAACCTTACTTCATTTTACATATACTCGGGCTTTGACGAGTATACTCGCCTTCGCTACATTTTTGCAACGCAATTTAAACGCACATCTACCAAAGACATCAACACAGTTAACTAGTTAAATATATAGAGAACATTAAAAAAACTTTAATTTTGGAAAATATTAGAAAACCGTTAGAGAACCATTCTTACGAAGCAATTCTAATTCAAGACATTCTCCTCGCTTGCAAATTGATACCTAAATCGAACTTTCTTTAAAAAAAAAAAAAAACGTAATTTTCATAAAAAGCTTCTAACTTTACTACATCTCAAGTTGAAACCTGTTCGGATGAGTACACAGACAGAATAACAAAAATTCACCTAAATCGCATCCATATAATTATGACTGCCTTCAGCGTCCGCAGCTTCTTCAAGTGAAAACATTCAATTTTAGACTTGAAAAAAGGCATGGCAAAGTTCAAATTAAATTTTGGGAAATTCTCACGTGTATGATTAAAGTATATTATATTCAAGAATTGTATTGCAAAAAATTCGAATGAGAAAAGAAAGAAAATTGTTGGAGTTGTGTTGCTTGATGTTTTCAAAAGTTATCTCTCAAAAAAAATGCCACTAAATTTCAAGTAATCCTACGCTGCTTCACAACTACTTTCTGCAAGCAAATCTTTGGATCCTGTAAAATTTTCCTTCCATCAGATGCAGGGTACAGAATAACATTTTTTTAACCATATGTTTTCAGTGTATATAATTGTACAAAAATATTGTCTCTTTCTCAAACACCAATCACAATCAATTCGACAATCGAATGCTTCGGAAGGAATCATTCGTATAAATATTAAATGTATAATTTTTTCGACCCCCTTTATACACTCCTTTGCTTTCTTCCTTTTGTTTAAATTTGTTATTTTGTAATATTTAAATGTTAGTGTAGTAGCTTCATAGTCCTCTTCGCAACTAGCTAGATATGTTAGTTAAACTTTACTTTTAATTAGCGCTTATTTAAACATTTATAATGTCTAGGCCTCAACTATTTACTTTAGTAAGTATTCTGCTGACCTAAGAAAAATTTCAAAGTTTTATTGATTTCATGCAAGAAACAAAGTCACCACGGATTGACGAGCAATGTGGTGTTACTATAGATAGATTAAAGATAACCCTTTCGTGACGGTTTTCTTCTATATACAGACGCATTCACTTGATGCGTCATAGCGACCTTGGAAAATGAAGTGCACCGTCGCAAAACGGTTAAGTCTTAAAAAAACTAACAACTAATTACCTAACTGCTCTTTATTTACTAAGTACATCACCAACAAACTATTACTTCCCTGTGGTGAACATTGAGCACATTTATCTTTTGGATTTATTATTTGAGCAAAAAGGTCATCTTAAAGTGATCACTAGAAGGCTCGTATCTAGACAGATAGTAGTTGTTCTCTATAGGTAAAGTTTTCAGTACTACTTGTGCATACATTTTCACGTCCTCCACATATTTTATTCACTCAAACTATAAAGGAACGGATAACTTTTTTTATCCTTAACTTAAAAATTTCAGTTCTTCTCTATCTTTAAAAGTAGTTTGGCGATATTCTAATCCATTCCACTACGGAACAGTACGCGATACTTTTGTGACTTTACAATTTCATGTCAATCGTATTGGACATACATTATGCTCACAATGTGCGAAAAATTATAGCTAAAATTTTTTTCCTTTTTTTTTTATATTACAAGTAATAAACTCAGTTATCAAGCAGGCTTCAAACGCATCCATACCGGTACTCTGAACGCTTAAAGCAGGGTTTTTTTAATCGCGGCGGGAGTTTGTTAAAATTTTTTGTGCTCCAAAATATCGAAAACACAGACAAATGAACGCTGTAAAGCATCCGAAGAAGCCTGAGCAGTTAATTTCAAAAGGCTTCGAGCAGCAAAATCAAGAAACTGGTGCCCAGAAGACGTCGTATAAGAGGCATGTGCTACTGTGGCCAAAAAGTAGGACCAATTTCAATTTTTCCAATTTTTAAATCTATTCCGGCCACTTTTTGCGAATAGCTCACTCAAATTCTTGTAAACACTCAATACTCAATAGCCACTCAATACATCTTGAAATCATTTTGGCTCGGTGGAAGGGCTGCATAGCGCACAACACCTGGCTAGTCGAAGAGAACTAATAACATCACCTCGATTTTAGAGTCTTGGTTCACCTTTTGCACGATGTTCGCTTGATCATCATGGGTCATTGATGGGTCATATAGGTAGATCTAAGTCCCATCTCCCTTAACAATGCGTTTCATGACTTATTGATACTTCATTGCTCAACGAAACCACACATTGCAAAAAATCGGAACCTAACACAGGTGTTTTTCAAAATACCATCAATTGAGAAAAATATATTTCGGATATTCGATATACGTGCACAAGTCAACCTAAATATTGATGTGCCTTCTTGCGAACCGCATTACGGCATATATCATTTATGTCCGCTCATAAAGTTCGCATTGATCTTCTTAATACGAAACGAATCTCCGCACGACAAGTTCCGAAATTTTACTACTATTAACAATACTGTCAAAAAAAAAGAGCTTCACTTAAGAAAGATGTTTATATTTAGCCCATACCAATGGAATGGATTTTTTTATGACAAAGAATCATTCAGATGAAGAAATCGGGAATTAAAAATTAGTTTCGCTTATAAAGTATGCGCAATATTATCACAATTTTGTTTAGCCCCAAGTAATCAATTCTTAGATTAACGAAAGATGGGCTCTGCCAGCTAAGACTGTTCTATTGAGAAACAAAAAAGCTATATGCTGAGCATAAATGGAATCGAGCATTTTACTCATTTCACGTTCTCTGAGTACTTTTTAAGATATTCACGGAATTAGTCGCTTCGACTTGTCTCATTAGACATATTTGAAAATGTAATCACTTTACAGTCGCCAGGTCTTCTTGTTTGCTATGGTAAGGTATTTAATAAGATTAGTACATTTTTATCTTGTTTTAGGACTTTAGGTTTGTTGGAACAGTAAAATAGTAAACTTGTTCTTTGTTTTGCCAATAACTTTGTAAATGATCTTAAAAAGCGTTCTTCCATATAGGTCTTGTGTGATTGATGCCTCTTAAGCCGCATTCAACTTATTATTAGACTGTTTACAATTCCTCCCTTTTGTCACTGCCGATTTGAGAAGGCTCGAAGGAAACTATTTCGGTCCACAAATTATTCCTTGCATCGTAACATGTCTTAGCTGCTAAGCAATGCAGGACTGCTTTCGTTAATGCAGTCTGCAAATCTTTATCGAAGAAATTAATGATCTGAAAGTCAAATCATATGCCGATCATTCTTCAAGCCCTTTGAACTTGGTCGAAATTCTTAGGCAGAAATGTAACTAAGATATAAACGATAGCCCAAGAGATCACAATTTGAGCAGTGCTTGCACATTATACACAACAGGCCCGTAATGTAATTAAGTGACTCTTCGCCAAAAAGAAAAACTTAATACAATTAACCTCACATCCACAATATATTCATAGGAAGGAGTTTTAATTGCAATACGAGAATATAATTTGTTTAACTCTCTGTTTCTTTTTTCTTTTCTTTTTTTTTTTTTGTGTCTTTCTTTTTTGCGTTTCTCTTTATAATAATGATATTTATTTGTAACAAAAACAAATTTCCACCCAAACTCAAAGTATCTTGTATGTGTGTGAATAATTTTAAATATGATTGAAATCTGTCTCTAAAAAAAGTGAACGCAAGTAAAAAAATTTGTAAAATATAATACACAAAGTGAGCTATAACTAAATGTATACGATTTATAAGATTCCATAGCTTTATTTTTTTTAAAATAATTTCTTTTCAATTTTCTTACTTTCTTTAAAACGTTTTCAAATTAAACAAAATGTTAATATATTTTGAGCATGTTTTCTGAAATTCCTTTAAAGCACTAACAAAAAACGTTATAGATAGTAAATATTTAACTTTTTGAGCACTTTTTACGCAAAAGTGAAGCACCGTGTCATTTATAAAAAGCAAAAAAAAAAAAAAAAAAAAAAATGGAAATGGAAATGGAATTGTATTCCAAACTTGCAGAACATGTAAATAAACGTTCATAGAGATTTGATGTTCTTTAATGTTAAAACTACTTCAAATATCAAAACTTAAAAAGTTGTTAACTTTCATTTAAAAACATCTTTTAAAAAATTGTTATTTAGATCATGACAGCTACCGTGGAGACAGTATCGGAACAATTGGATTTAGCTTCGCTACTGCCGGCTGATCGCGCTGTTGCTCGATCAATCACTCTCTCAGATGCCGATGTGGGTAAGATGTGTTTTCTATTGTTAAGGTTTCTTTTCAATCAGCCAAAGGGTGCAACTCTTTGCCAATAATTGATTTAACAGACTGAGTCGTATATATACAACATATCTATCGCGCGATTTACCTATATCGTACTTGAACTAACTTTTAACCTTAAAAAGTCATTATGAGTCGAAAATTAATTGTTGTTAACTGTTATCAGTTGCCAAGCTTATGCATGTTTACGATAGCTTAGGGGTTCACTTGCAATTTGGTCCTGTACCGGTTGTGTGTGTGGCTCTATGCTACTTGTGTACATGCTATTTTTCTTTATTTCTTTTTTTTTTTTTTTTCCTTCTTATTTGTTTTATTGTACTTATACTAAGTTTTTATAATAATTAATTTAAGTCAATTGAACTCGACTGCCAATTTGTTTTAGTTGAGTTTCTTGCATAAGTGGAATAAATAAATAAATAAATAATCGTATATTACCGCCGGAGTTATATAGGTTATCTACATTCTGAACGGAGACTTTCTGCATTAACAGGAAGCGCCAATGTCAGCGTTACTAAGGCCTCAGTTATAGGGGAGAATGGAGTTAACGGTAGCACAGGAGGTGCTTGTGTCGATAATGCCAGTCTTTCCGATGAGGACGAAGAAGATGAAGACGGTGACGACTTCTGGCACACTTCGGTGGGTAAATTTAAATTTGCCCTGGACCAGTTGCCTCAGCCTTTACAATACATACATCAGTTATTAACGGTAAGCCCTAATTGCTTAAAAATAAAATGGACATGTATTTTTTAATAATCCATATCTCGCAATTTTATAGGAAATCCCTACAATTAAAAAACCGGACATTCTCTACTATATATTGCAGTGCTTGAATGTGATGGCTTTGCACGGGGATGCTTTGTCTAAAGCAGCCAAGGAGCATCGTGGCTTCTTCATTTGGTGTCAAGAGAATTTATTGATAAAAAAGTAGGAAAAAAATTAAATTAATAATCATAGGTGTACGCATAGATCTGATCATAAAGACATTTCACCTGAGGACAAGTGTAGCTCAAGCGTATTGAGTACTGTCGTGGGACTCTCAGTTTACAAGCCGATGCAGTTTCCGCGATTATTTTCTGACCAAAAAAATTTGGAATTGGGCACATGCTAGCAGAGTTCACCCACTCTAGTAGTCGTTTGGCGCACTCTGCGTGCATACGCAGAGTCCTTCGTGGCACTTACTAATGGTGTTAGACTCTAAGAAGACTTAATCTTTAATACTCATTGCATACTTATGAAATAACGCACATCAACAAGCTCGTTTGTAGAGCACAAGTGCAAGGAATACCCGATATTCGCGTTCTTAATAGATATAGTAACTTGTCTCATATATGCGTACAAGATAGGACGAAAGATCTTTATAGCTTATACTCCATTAAGTTTTCTATATTCTGACATTAGGAAAGTAAATAGAGCAAGTTCAAGACTGATCACTATATACATGTACTTATTTGCCTTTATTTTAGTCTCTGGGATCTTTGCAATGCTGAACAGTCGCACATTTGTCAAGTTTGCGTACCACTGCTATTGCATTGCATAACTTTACCCCTAGGATCGGATGTGTTTTGGCGCGTGGTGCAGGAAGCCTTCCACGACACTGATTGGCGAGTACGCTTCACAGCAGTTGAACGAGTCACCGTAATTACGCGCTTTATGGATTCCATACCGTTGCGTACCGAAGTTGGCTTGCAAACAGCTTTAGCGACGGCGTTCTGTCATCTCATTGCTAGCATGGATGATATTAATGTATATGTAGCACAGCGTGCGACTCTATACATTGGGACCATACATGACACCGCAATTCGGTCACTGCTCTTCTGCTTAGAATCGCAATTCGACCTTTTCATAGTGGATCGCCCCGTTGTCTTGCAATCGGTCTACCAACTGCATAATTCTCTATCCGACCGCAAAGTATTAACTTGGGAATTTTTCTTAAATCGTTTCGATACGCTATTTGTGGAAGCTCAAATTACTTTGGAGAAAGGTGGTGATATTGCATATTTAAGGGATTTAAGAAATTCGGAGAACGGCAGTGAAGCTTTATCTTCAAAAATTTTGAAGGCACGCGAAGCTTTAAGTCAAAGCGATACCACTACTGGCAGCATGGCCAAAACGTTAAGTGCGTCCTTCGGGACTAAATGGCCCTATAAAAGGACGCTGTCTGCTCCGGCGAGCATGGTACCAAGACAAGATAGCAAATTCGGTGAGTATTGGAAGAGGAAAATATATTGTTTTACCCTATTTTTTGACCTTTCGCCAAATCACATATCAATACGGTCTATATATATATATAAATATATTTTTATTTTTTTTTTAGTACCTGATAAAGAGAAAATTTATAGCCGCCAAATTTCTGCACCCATATTAAAAAGGAAAACCTCACGCTTCGGTTTGGGTCAGTTTTTAGGCTCTAGCGGAGCCAGCAACGCTTGCACTAGTTATAGTTTAACAACAACTAGCAATACACATTCATACCGTAACACATATTCCTCTTATCCTGTCCAACCGCTATCCCATATCCAACTGCTTCCCTGTCCTGCCCATCAGCCTCAACAGCATTTTCTTCAACATCAACAACAACAACAACACCACCATCAATCTAGTAGTAATTTTGCACCAGTAGCAACACCATCAACATCAACTTTAGCCTCAACTTATAGTCAAAGTCATCAGTATTTAGTGCATTGTGTAGCACCTAGTCAAACGCTAATACATAATCCAATGCCAACATTGCAAGAAGCTGAGCAGCTAACCAAATCCCAGCGACCTCGCTCTCCTATCATCAATCAACCAATTCACCACCACCATCACTATTCACACTCCCATCCGATGCACGCTAATATGCATTCACATTTCCAAAAACATCCTTCGGCACCGAACCTTTTACCTCCACCACCACCACCACCCCCAGCACCTAGCCCCACCCCCTCAGCTTCAGCTATAACCATGTATTGCACTTGTGATGTCGGTGCAGTACATGCACCGGCACCTCAAGGTAGGTTGTAGAGCATGTCATCGTGAATGTTTTAATTCGTTGTTGTGTGTATGTATACTATATCTCATATATCGCATATATACGCTCACATAAATACAAAGATCTACTTAATGTTTTTCTCATTCCTTTTTTCTCTTTATTTATTTTTTTTTTTGTTTTTTTTTTTTTTTTTTTTGAATTTCGAAACCAATATAACAACTCTGCGTGATATACTGTTTCACTGTTGAATTTTTCTTACATTGTACTCTGAGTGGCTTTAAAAATCTCCTCCAATCCGCTCTGTGTATTTATGCGTGTATGTTTTTTTTATAATATACAGATCTGTTGCTCACATTTCACAGGGCTAGTCTTTGTCTGGATCTTCCAATAACATGTAAATAACTTAAATAGAAAAAAAAATGTTGGGTAAAAAGCACGAGATTACATTCCTTTTATTACACTTTTTGCTCTTGCTCTTTAGAAAATGCAATTGTAAAAAGCTTCATATAGACTGTATAATTTAACTGGACTCGTTCCTTTTGTTTCACTTGTTTAGACAAAAATGCTTATGTCTGTTTAGATTTTGCACTTATATATATATCGATCCATGCATGATTGCAAAAAATAAATGAACATCCCAGTGAATATGTTTATGTCTCCTAACAGAAATTTTTATTTAGCTCATCCGCTGACGCAAAGAGTCTAGTTTATGTCAATCTTTCTCTCGTTACTTTCCTTACTTTCGTTTCAAAATCTCTTCCTCTCACTCTGCATCTCTCTTTCTATCGGGCTGTCTCTCATTTATCATACGGCTTGCTCGCTTCTCTAGGATCATATTCCTCTGTCGTGCCATCTCAACTTGCGCACTTAACTAAATTGTTTGTACGAAAGCACTTAAATCTAACACATAATAATACTATACTTTTTGATAACGTAAGCAAACTTAAGTTCACTCCGCCTGTACCTGCATAGATATCTTGACTTTTGAGATCAAAATTCTTTTACCATAAGAAAGAAGAATGGTTTAAACTTGATCTTAATACTGTTTTGAAGACAATCTGTTGTCTTCGTTATACCTATCAACAAAGGATAGGAAATTTGGTATACAAGTTCTCTATTGATAGCCATAGGCTAAATTTGCAAATTAACCCGCTCGCTGGAACGCAAAATTATAACACAGAATCTGTAATAGATATTGATCAAAATGTTTGCAGTGATCTAACCAAGAGAAAAATTATTTGAATCGGATAATTTCAACGCCCACTGACTGATGATATAATTTGTGCTTTATTATACTTTATATATTGACTTGAGGTGGTAGGTATCAAAAATTCGCCTTAAGGCGAATAAACCTTTCTTACGTATCCTGTTATATGAAAATTTAACTTTTTTTAAATTTCGAAGTTTTTTGATTACGTCCTTCTATTTATCGTTTCATTATCCTATCCTTGTGCTTTACTTTACTATTTATTTATAAAAAAATTCCTCGAGTGGTATGTATGCTTAAGACTTGTAAGATCACATTTTCGTGTGCTTTCATGGCTCTAAATGTAGTAGTAAGTGTAATCTTTGAAATGCTGCCCGCAGACTTCGTGAACTAAGAACATTTATTCTAATGTTATTTATCCTTGAATTCAAAACCTATAGATGGTCATATACATTCTTTGGGAGGTTTAAATGACGATAATATTATGGGTTTGTTGAGTCGTATAACTGAATTGGAAGAATCCGATCGTGAAACAATTCATTTATTGGTGTTCTTGTTAATGCAATTCATGTCACGGACAGATCAAGCTTTTCCCTCGGAAGATAAACCAATCTCAAAGACCCAGAGTATTGTACTGAAGCACTTATTTTTGTTGTTGGGTCACAATCAATTGGACAAAACCTTCCACGCGACAGCAGAATGTTTGCGGTAAAAATTTGAACACCTGTTCCTACAACGTATCTTAAATTCTCTTCAATTTCTCTCCCTCGTAGGGCTTCTGCTGTTTTCAATGCTTTTTTGGCTAATTTGCCACAAGTCTTGGATCAAAATCATTTAATCGGTGGTCATATATTACCAACAGTGATGCAAGTTATCCTTTACGCTCCGAATCCTCATAACTTAACGGGCGACGCTTATCAAAAGCAAGTCTTTAATTATTCTTTATGGCATTTGGAACAATATCCGCGTCGAAATTGGATATTCACTATGCTGGTGATTTTATATAAATATTCTTATACGCAGCCACCGCAAAGTTCGTACACTAATTCCGCGATACGTGTAGTAATGAATAGCCTGCGTAATCATTTTCATCAATGTCGGCGCATACCCACCACTATTTTGGATATACCGGGAAATACACGTTCCAGGGATGTTAGTCAACCGTCGTTGGGAACTGATCCGGATGATAAAGAACAAAGTCCACCGGCAAGTCCTATGTTTCCCTCGGAAGGCACTAGTGGCGCTTCAAAAGGAAAAGGACAAAATGTAGCTTTTACTCCCAAATTGCAACATGCATTCAGAAAGTACACTGACTCTAGTCTGGATGCCGATGAAACTGAATCTGAATTGGTAGCCATACCAGAAAGTGATCTCTCTGATAGTACTCTGCAAGGAAGTAGTGCGCCGGTAGATTTCATTCAAAACAATCAACGTTCTCAAGACTACTCTAGTTTTTTCCTATTTAGGGTTCTTTTGATGATACCATGCATTTAGAAGAGATAACTACTACTAAAGTGGAAGTTTTAAAGCAGCGTAAGACTTCAGAATTACATGACGAAAAATCTTCGAAAACACTTAAGTCCATGATCACCACTAAGACTGGCGATACATATACTACAAAAATCAAAGCTACAGCTGCTGACACGGTATCTACAACGATCGTAACTACACACTCACGTCATAGCCTACAAGAAGGCGTGCGTATGATCGTTACTCCGTTGGTGGCCAGAGAAACCACGGAAACAGCTATTATAAGCCCACCCGTTGACGTGCATCGAGCCATCACTGTGCGTAACAAAACTTTTTCCGATTCAGGAGCTACGTCCACTTCAAAAATGTTTGCTGCCATAGCTACCAATCATTTAAAAGCCTTGGGTACTTTACAAGACACGCAATTTAAGGTGGTTGATGCGAAAGGTTCGCAGGCGTCTAGTAATGGTTCACGTTCAACAAATGGTAGTTCAGAAGGTTCCGAGAAACGAGGTGCCGCTAAAGCTAAAATGATCGAGACCCAGCAAAGTTTAGTATCAGCCAGAAAAGTAATGGGTCGTCAAAAAACTATTGTGGAGTGCAATGCTTCCAGCTCATCACCTGGTACTGATGATTCGCGCTTAAGTGCTAATCACAAAACTAAACCACAAAGTAAGACACTTAAACGTTCCGAAAAAGCCTACGGTTCCCCCGACTCTCCACTTTCCAAAATGAACGTTATGCCAAATCCTACGGATGAACTAGATAGCTCTTGCCTACCAACACCAAAAAGTATAACTTCTTTGGAAATACCAACGCCAGAACGTTTATTACCAATTGGGCCACAACAGAGTGTTACCGCAATAGTTGAGCGTGTACGAGAAGGCCTCCATCTACCCGATATCAGTCACTTGAAACAAGATAGTTTGGATGCTTCCGAAAGCATGAAAGACGACGTAACATCGAATAGCTGCACTAATTCACCTAGACGCTTAATTAAACAAGTAGCTTTGGAAGAATCTCTTATATGCGGAGGAAACAACATGAACAAAGAAGAAACCATGGATCATCATACGTCTCTTCTAAAAACAATGAAGCTAAAAGTAAGAATGAATAGCAATAGTGGCGATGTAGAAAATGTTGTAGCTGGACCTGCTCAAATGCCAACAAGTTCGCACACAAAATCGGATAGCTCTAAGAGACCTCGTCAAAAAATGGCGCCTTTCAATATGGATATGAACATTTTGCCAGACATGCGTTCTCGATATGCCGGTTCATTTCCACCGCCACCTTATCAATCTCCCGATGAACAGTTTGACGAACTGGAAGACGGACAAGAAAATGGCGGAACACAACAATCGGGTCACCAGCCAAATCGCGTGGTAAATATAAAACAAAAACGTAGTTAGTTCATTAGTTGCGCAAAAACAAGGTATTTATAAAGGGAAGCTTGAGAAGTTTATAATAGTTTAGCAATCCTCCAGTTCTCTTTCAATTCACCGCCGCATTATATCCCAGAAACGAATTACATAAGCGAAAGACGCTGTTTCTTGTAAGTATTTCATAGGAAACATTATGCATTAATCTATGTCCTTGACACGAAAGGTTTTAGGCATAGAAAGCCTGCATTACTCATCAATCCAATGCCGTTAGCACCACGAATACGAATCAGCCGCTCAATATTTAAACCACAAAATTTAATGCAATGAAAAATAAACACAGCAATTAAACCCAGATGCGTAATTAAACTTATGAACGCCGACATGATTCTGGACCACGCGTTGAGATCTCGAGGGTAGAAAGGCTGCAGTTGCACCAAAGTAAGATTTCTGGCGGTAAAAAGACATTGAAGCCAAGATTGTGGTAGACATGTTCAATTTGAAGGCAGGCGCGATGAGTTCACGAACACATATGAAATTAGAAAAAATAAATATCCTTTTTTTTTAATTTTTGTCCATTAACTCTTACTAAACCTCTTCCCGTCCTTCATGTTCAATGTTCTTGTTTTCTGAACAGAGTACTCGTCGGGTAGGTGATTACGCTGTTTGTGAACGCTGTTCGGAGTGCGGCGCTTTAATCGAAGAATATACTGACGAGGAAGTCGGTCTTTTAATCGTGATTTTAGGCACATTCATACACCGTGAACCAGCGATGGCAGCACCGTTTTTACCAGAAATCTTAACCATAACGGCAAAGTAAATCAAACCCATAAGAAATAACCTCACAATACTTCCGCTAATTTTTGCTTGTATCAGGATTTCATCAACCAGTACGTTTGCTTGGCAAGGAGAGAACGGTCCGCCGTTGGTATGCAGTGCTCAAGCCGTAGCTTTACAGTTTTTACGCTGTGTTTTACACCAATTAACACCAAACGGTATTTTCTTACAAATTTTGCAAACCGATGTCATAAGTAAGTATTTAAGAATATTGAGAGATAAGTAAATAATTCAATTCTTTCATCACAGAAAAAATCAGGCGAAATACATTCCGGAGTATAGTAAAAGCCCTGCAAGACTTTCAAGAATTAAACGCTTCAAGCCCTGTGTATATGGTCTGTGAAGCTTTGCAGGCAAAGAAATCACTACCTTTGGAATTATTACCCGTTATTTTCCGCAATATGGCCGAATATTTGCAATGCATTCCAGTGGATTCGAACATAAGTCCGGCGGCTTGGATTCAAGCCACAACAAGTTTGGAAAATCTTTTACGTCAAGTTTTAGTACATCTACCAACCGTCACGAACCACGAAAATTTACTTAGTTTAATTGTAGCTACTTTGCGTTTGAACTGTGTACCGAAAACTCTGTTGGATCCTTATTCAAAAATCTTAGCCTATTGCGTACAACACACCAATTTAGAGTACCACGTACTTTACGACATATGCATATACGGGCGAAGTTTTTCTCGGGATCGTGACAAGCAATACTTATGTCGCCAGCTGATTTTCGAATTTATTCAAGCATTGAAATTTAAAATCAGCATTCCGGATCACAATTTACTAATGATAATTGGTTTCGTCCTTTTGGATGCCGGTTGTGCTTTCCCACCTGGTACTTTACAAGGCATACCTGACTTACCGCCAGCTCTTACGACAAATGCAGCCGAATGCTTGCGCCAGTATATTAATGACGTCATCGACTTTTTAGCCGATTTTCATACGCTCAATAAGATTAAGGTAAAATTTTCGAAAGTGCATAAAAAAAAAATTTGATGTAAACTATATTTATAAAATGGCAGAACTTTAAGAACAGTCTAACCCAAAACGGTTTGAGTGAGGATACCTTAGGCGGTGTCTTAAAAGGAGCCGTTTCGCAATATTTGGCTATGGAAATGTCACGCGGAAATTCTAGAGACAACAAGGCTGTAGCACGCTACTTACCTTGGCTGTATAATGCCCCTTCATCTCTGCAGCAGGGGTAAGCTGCTTTCCGATACAAGGCCAAACCCCCCTACATAACTATTACTTTCAACTTCATCTTCCTCTTTCTTTTTGATCAACTTCTAGGCCAAAAGAGTTTACTGAGTGTGTTGGTCATATGCGCTTGCTTTCCTGGTTGTTGTTGGGATCCCTCACACATATGGCTTTAATGCAAAGGCGTTCTACCGTGCACATAGCTGGGGTGACTCCTGCCCACACTTCAGGAAATTCAGCCTTACTTCACAATCAACCTTATCAACCAGTTCCACAGGACGCCTCTTGCCATATAGCCGATCACATTCAAGTAATATTTGCCGGGTTCGCAGAGCAATCGAAAGCATCCGTCTTGCACATGTCATCGTTGTTTCACGCCTTCACTCTGTGCCAACTTTGGACGGTTTATTTGGAACAAATTGCCCATGCATCTAATAATTCAGAGGGGAATACGATGGGTGTGCTGTTTGAGTTTTGGGCTAAAGTGACGCCTTGTATCTTGCAATTAGTCTCTCATTCGAAGCCCCCAAAGGACACTACAGGTGAATTTTCACAAAACTCCAATGCAAAGGTAAATAAAACGTGTTCTGGCCACATTGATGTGATTGTTCTTGTATTGCTTTTATACCGCTTTAGCTTTCGGAAATGGTCAATTTGCATTTTTTAAGTCTTTTAGAAGCCTTAAGAGAAACAAATTCAACAGTACTAAGCAAACTCTTGCCATTGTGGAGTCCAGTATTATCATCACAGACGCAGGTGAATAAAATTATTTTATTATCTTCCAAAACTGTCATTAATTAAAAGTTTCGTCTCCTTAGCTCTCGGACACTCTGCACGTACGCTTGCAAAATGTGCGTGACTATGCTCCGGATTATCAAGAGCAACAAACACAGCAAAGTAGAATATTATTAAGATGGTTACAACGTTTACAATTTAAAATGGGGCAAATTGAATTACAAGCGTCTACGGCTACGCAATTCTACTCAATTTAATATTCAATACGTCGCGTAAAAAAAATATTTTCATTTATATGAAAAAATATCACTATGCAACATTATTTTTATCAATATAATAACTTATTATTATTTGGGGGTTGTTGTAACAAATAAATACCACGGACGTCATGGCGGTATATGATGGGTGAGGGGATATAAACGATTCTGCCGCGGTGGAGCAATGCTTCATGAACGCACATCAGAAGGAAGTGCATTTCAGTTCTGTGGCGGCTGCTCTCGTTTTTATATCGTCTTCATTTTGCTCACGCCAGGATTCAACAGTACTTTCCCTTTTAGCAGATTTTTATTGAACAATAATCCAAGTGATATCAATTTGTTTCACTCCGCCCTCTGTCAGGCTGGCGGTAATTTGTAAAGCAAGGGCGTGACCTTAAAGCTTCGTTGGGCAATGTAATTTTTCCTTTCGACAAGCATGACGATTGAATCTTTAAACGATCAGTGGCTTGTTTTTCCTGTAATTCCTAAAAATTCATTGCCAAGAATAATAATAAAGCTAATCATTAACCAGGATAACAAACTCACGTACCTTAAGTTTTTGCAGGTGCCGCATTTGAAGTTCTATCGAATCAAGCAAGCTTAACATTTGGGTGCCATTAGTTTGTATGGGCGGCGGTGTGGCAGCAGTAATCTCCCAGTGTTTCCCTTTTTTTCGCATTTTTTCTTTTTGAGGATCGTGAACGTTTGATACCGTTGTTTGATAGGGTTTAAATTTATCTTTTTTAACACACTGGTCTTTAAGCTCCGTTTTTTCTAGCAAATAATTAACATGCGGCTCAGTTTCTACGTTTTGCTTTGATATACAACGTCTTCTTTGAGAACTATTTAAAGCTTCTAATTTCGGTTTTAAATCACCCAATCTGTCCCCAACATCAATGGCCACAATATCAGCATTTATTACTTTCGTATCATGCAATGAATTCCATACTGAATTACCGCTTGATTCGCACGATCCGATTTCTTTTAAATCTTGTTCTTTGATCAACTTAATCTCAGGCTTTAGTACTTTAAGTCGCGGCTCGTGCATTTGCTTTTGAGCCAAGATACGTAAAGGATCCATTTCATGCTCATCATCACTATCCAAAACATCATCTAAATGATCATAACCATCGCTGCCCCACTCCAGACTATTTATGACCTGTTCTCCTTCCTTAACAATATTTAATTGAGAGAATAATTTCGCTGCCTGATCAACATTAGCTCTTCGATCCAACTCTTTGATCAGCTTATCGTAGAAAGTTTGAATACGTCTTCCTTTATCTGGTAGTTTTTCCAACTGTTTCCTATAAGATTTTTTCGAATTTTAGTTATGAGATCCACGGAATTTCAAATTTTTGTACCTATTGGCCAAAAGTCTCTCTTCACGTTCTTTAATTTCCCGCAGCTGTAAATTGGTCATGGTGCATAAATCTTCGACGTAATTATCCTTTTTAGCTACGGGCAAGGATCCACCAGGAATCTTGTTCAATTTGGGACGAGCCACTGTAGACATGTCTCTTTCCCAGGAAGACACTTATCTCAGCTTTTGTTTATATCTACAGCTTTAACACTAAATTCGCTCAAATTCTCTTGCTATTGACGAACGTATATAAACCAATTTGCTTCTTCTTCAACATAAATTTTTGACACGTTCAATAAATCGCGACTAGACAGCACTTTTGTAATGTCACTAACCATTAGCTAGGCGTTTTTGTGCTGATAAAAATTTTTTGTTGAATCCCAACGATTCTCGAAAATATGGATAATACATTATTTTTTTTATATATATGTATGTATTTTTTTTATATATATGATTCGTATTTTTCAAAAGGAGGTTTTAATAAGGCTTACGTGCAATCTCAGGAAATCCAACAAACTTGTGTAAACTGTGAGAATTCATTCATAGGTCAGTTCTATATGGTTCATCTATAATCCCAATGCTATTGTTTTTTTAAATTCGGAGGGCTGACACAATATGGCACCACTTTCATTGCCGGGCTAAAAACTCTCAAGTGGTATACACCACGACGAGCCGCGCTACTATATTGTTTTGCGTGAAAATGAAGACAAAACATGTAGTTTTAGAGCCAAAAATAACGAAATCGACGTAAACGTAAACAACAAATTTAGAAAAAAGTTACAATAAGAAAGTTATTATACAAGTAAACATGCTTGCTTATTGATTCGCGATAAAGAAGATTGATTAGATATATGCAGGTAAATACATTCGATATATTTTTGGTTATTATTTGATCTATTATTTGGATACCTCATTCCATTCATCTCATCATTATACCACTCATCGCTGTCTAAAGAACAATTTGTTGAATATATTTTAAAATTAATGGTCTTTATTGCCTTTCCTTTCTTACAAAATAATGCACTCTATAAAGCCAAATGGCAAATCACATAATATAAAAAAGGGTGTAATAATTTTTAAATTTAAAATAAATTGCCTTTATTTCTTCTTGTGCGTGTATTACGTACACATGCAAAATGCTCTAATTATCATAACGTTATGGAATAATAGGAATAATACCTCATTATTGTCAACAGAAACTTTTATTAAAAAGCAGGCCAATGTTTATACGTGACATTCAATAATTCGCAATAACATAACAGTATAAAAAACCGCTATAGTATGAAAAAGACGCTCTAATTGCCATCATTTCGATTGAAAGGAATTAAATATCAATTAACTTCACGATACATCAAAAATTTAACAAAAGTGCTGCACAATCTTAAAAATTCCCCAATCAGAAAATGGCCTATTGTTTGTATTAAATGACACTTCACTTTGCTTTTAAAAATGTTCAGAAAATTACAATCGAGTGAAAAAAACACGAGTAGAGCAGCACAAGCAAGCAGACAATTGCGAAAGAAACGACGGAAAATCATGTAAATTGCGCATTTATTGTTGGAAAAAACGACAAATAAATTTCGAGGCTATTTGCATTTAATTGTGCTGCTGTAAAAGTTTACCTTTTTGGGCACTGAAATTCGATATTGGTAAGTCCTAGAACTGTAAACTGGAGGGCGCTAAGAAGATATTCAACGAACAATATGCTGTTTGCCTGCAAAATGTAATCTTCGCCTGATGATGCAACTGGCCACCGTTTAGAGTGTGCGGCGTTGTGGCTGCGAATGTGCGAGACACAGTGAAAGAAGAATAAAAAGTACATAATGAGCAATAAAAAATTTTAAAACAAGTATAGAGAAATTTTATGTAAAACTTTTAACTTAATTGCTTGAAGAGGTGTTAAAAATGTGCCATAATGATAGTGTAATTAATAGTTCATATTTTCTTCGTGCGTTATCATTTTTCAGAATACCGTGTGCTTTGACGAGGTTAGGGTCTTAGAAGGTATTTGCGTGTGTTTGTGCTTGAAAATCATTTCCTATTCAAATGTCGGAGGGGAAATTTAGTGAATCAATGGAAGTTGCAGCAAGTCAATGTGAAAGAAATGCGATGTTAATGGAAGAAAATTACTTGTCTACGTCGAGCGCAAGCTCAGATGATTCAAGCATAACGTCGTCATCTTCTGACTCCGAAGATGAAGACAACTCGGCTGAGGAAGATTCATTAGAATTGGCTAAAATCACTAAAGAGATTTTGAGTCTACCTAGAGGTCTCTGTGAGAATCAGAATATATTTTATGAATTCTTTTCCTTGGATACGTGGCGCGAGTTGCCTGTACAGGTGCAAAACCATTTACAACAATTTTTACCCCGATTTACGCACTTATTGCCGCAACAGTTAGCCGCTGTAGAACAAACACGGACTATCTCTATGCTCTTTAGCGATGAATTAAAACGATTCGGACAATCCCCGTTAGCCACTTTGCAACGGCATTTAGAGGAGGGGAATTGCCGACCGGACATATTAAAACTCAGACAAAGCATAGCGAAATCGAAGCGACGGGAACAACGTTTTCGGCAATGTGAACATCTCTCACAATTGGCAAAGCAGTTGTTTCTATCACGTCAGCGTTTGATGCAGTCAGCTTATCAATCTGCTCCAGATGCGGTGCTAAAAGTCGCGCAAAATTCAGTCCTGCGACCTAAACCTGCCCAACTATACGCTGATAACAAACTGTCGGCAATTAGGGCTCGCAAACGTTTTTATTTCGAAATTTCGCAAATGAACCAACAGCTTGGGTTCAGAGATGAAGATCTAAGTGCTAATGAGGGCGAAGAAGATAATCTCACTGCTGAAGAATTAAAGCTTGAGCTCTCTACAAGTCGAACTTCTGAAGAATCTGGCGACCATCTAAAGCCAACCAACAGCATTGCAGACCGTTGCATTTACAGCACTCTTTTTAAACGACAAGAAAATCTTGACGATGAAGACGCTTGCCGTGCACAACTAAAATCCAAGGTAGTGCGTTTGTGCAATAGGAATTTCCGAGAATGTTTAAGGGAACATAAACGAAGAAAATTAACAGAACCGGTAAATAAACTAGAAAGCCTTGTTGTTTGGTTATTATCCACTCATTGTTTTTCTGTTTTAGACTTTGCCAGAGTTCGAAACGTCGGATATACGGTTACGTGATGTTTGTGCACGAGCCCAAGTGGGTGGCAATTTCAAACGCGTGCTTTCCTTGGGGAAAACGCCAGGGCGTAAACCGAAACATGGTACTGTTCTATCTACCAATAAAGATTCTGTGGTATGCACTGGTGCCAAAGCAGACATTTCAGCAGAAAGCAATGTAAAATTAAGTGAACCTCCTGCTCTGGTACCCATACAGCCTTTGAAGAAAGCTGAAACATATCAAAACGCCACGAGTCGAAGGGACTCACTATCAACGGATGCCAATTTGAGTTTGCCTTTAATGTCGAATTCCGGTCATGTGGATAACATAGAATTGTGTATGGGCGATTCGTCTTTGTTAACAGCAGACAATGAAGATTTCAGCGTACTGGACGGAGAAGTGGAATTACAACAAGAAGAGGTTGAGACTTTTTCGAGTACATGTGAAGAAACTCTACCTGCCTTCGTGATATCCAACGAAGTACTACCAAATGCCCAGGAAGTGCAGCAACAGCCATCTAGTGACGCGATATCACCAGGCGTAACTACAAGTCACCCTCTTCCCAAACTAGAACCTATTTCTAAATCCAGTCCCTTAACGGAAGCCAATCACACAAAGCAGATGAAAACTTGTAACCAAAAAATTTTTGCGTCTCCAACAAGATGCGCAAATGAACTTATACAAGAAACCCATGCTTCCTATTTTTCCTTAATTCGGGACTTTTTTTGTGCTACGCCAAATCATCGGATGCGTTATGATGAATTAAAAGGAAAAATTGAAGTCTGGCTACGAAATCCAATCACAGCCCTGAACGAATGGTACTCTCTGACCGATAACTGGTCCACTTTATTGCGATCGGCCATTAATTTTTTGGTGGGCGATTTTATCGGCTTACCTGAAGAGTATGTCCCATATATAGAGTTCAAAGCGCAAATAAACATTTATCAATGGATAGGTGCAGGCCGGGATTCCGACAATCGTTTATCCAGCTTGTGTAAGACCTGGATGGAAAAGCGGCGGCAACAAAGCGAAAGGGCTTTACCGTTCATACAAAGTAGTGAAATGAAAATGGATATTACATCGCACAAGAGCCCAGTAGAAAATGAAGACTCTAGCGGAGGTTATGATAGCAATGGTGGAATTACTCCCCCGCCACCTCCCCCTCGATGCCCAACGTCTTGGACCGTTAGGCCAGCCACGTTAGCAGAAATTGCTGAATTTCAACGACAAGAACGGGCACGTTTTGAACAGCCTCATAAGGCATACACATACCGTATGCATGGATACGAAAGCGTAGTAGGACCTGTGAAAGGCATCTATACACCAATGTTGGCCTTGACTAAAGCGCGAGGTCATAGTATGATGGTAGGGGATCGCCCAAATTTCGTTACGATACTTACGCTAGTAAGGGATGCTACAGCCAGACTACCAAATGGTGAAGGCACTCGAGCCGATATTTCCGAATTGCTTAAATGCTCCCAATATATTAACCGCGATGCTGCCGAAAACGTTTTACAAACCATTGTAAGTGGCGCCCTAGATCGTATGCATACTGAGCATGATCCATGTGTTCGTTACGATCCCAAACGTAAAATCTGGATATACTTGCATCGCAATCGTTCCGAAAATGAATTTGAACGCTTACATCAGCAGAATCAAGGATTAGGAAAACCCAAAAAGCTGCCATCGCGTAAAACCAGGACAACTCCATTAAAAACAGAAGATTCCCTTTCTGAGCATAAAATGCCAACATCTAATTTCAGAGATAGCAACAACGGTTCTTTAATATCGTTGCCTGCTTTAGTACCTTCTAATCCAATAGTGATAAACAGTGCCAATTCTCGGCAGTTGCAAAAACAAATATCTCCTCAGCAACAAAATGTAGTTCTAACCAATAAGTGTCCACCGGTGCCGCCTTTGAAATACAACATTCCGCATCACTCCATATCCCCCAGCGGTCAACAGCAACAAAAGTCTTTATTAAAAATTACAAGAAGCTCGAATTTGCCGTTGACTGCAGCAAATACTGCGACGAAGCAGTACAGTTTTCAAATGCCTCAATCTAAAGGATCGGCCATTAGTAACGAGGGGAAAAACAACTCTATTATTTTAGCAACACCTCAAGGCTTGCAAACAGTACAAGTAGCAACCAGTGCCAACAATTCCGTTGTGCCAGCCGAAGCGAACATAACAAACATAACAAACTCATCACACCAATCAGTAGCACCGGTTACTGCAACTGCAACCCTAGGCGGCAAACGTGTTGCTCTCAATAAGCCCATTATTATTAATCAAGTGAATCAACAATCTTCATCTGGGAACCATAGTAAACATGCTGGAAAATCCCCACAACAAGCTGTAAAACAAACGCAATCCATACAAAACCGTACAAATTCACAGCAACACGGCCTTATAATGCCCATAAGCTTGGCAAATACAATGGGTGTTGGCCTTTCTCAACAGACAAGCACTACATTAAACATTCAGGCACCCACTTCTACTGCATCAGCATCGAATAAGAACTTCATACGCTTGGTTCCTGCTTCGGGTGTAAAATCTCTTCTTAGCACACCAACGGGACATATTATAAGCAGACAACGCATTTTAACAACCCCTAATAATACAGTTGTTTCCTCGGTAAATAATATAAATCGAATTCAGCATCCGCAGCAGCAAAAAACGCCGCCAGAATTTCAGATCGTTAACAACAAGACCAATTCAAATAATATCGTGACGATAAATAGCAGCGGTGTTGGGAGTGTTTCGGGTGTTGCGAGCGTTGCGAACAGTCCGAATACGTCGGCTTCAATTGTCAAGATTCCCGGTCAAGCTTTTGCCAGCCTACAATCTAAGAACATTATTGGACAACAACATGTTATGATAAAAGGAACTAACACACAAACGTCAGTAAGCGGTCCAAAACCGCAACGACTGATCTTGGGTAAGTTGATACGTTTTTCTGTGCCAGCATCCATTGTATATATATATATATATATATATATATATATATGGTGTGAATGGAACAACTAATGTAGTCCCGCGTTTCGGTTTTTATGAAAATATTATATCCATTTCATTGATTAGGTAATACCGGCACAATTTTGTCAGCAACAGGATCTCAGAAAAATATTGTATTGCAGCAAGTGCCAATTGTCTCAACTAGTGGTGCGACTGCAAACATATCGACAGCGCCAGCGCCAACCACAACAACAGCGCTGAACAAAATACAGACAATTAACGCCGCTAATTTAACGCCTCAACAGCAGAGAGTGTTGATACAAAATCTCAAACAACAACAGCAATCGAGTAACACTCAGCCGCAAATACAAATTAAAACTGTGCAAATAGTGGGCGGGAAGAATCCACAGCAACCTCAGCATCAACAGCAATCAACAATTTCAGCAATATGCAACCAGAATTTCACTATTGGAACAGCACAGCAACAGCAAATAGGAATAGCAAAGACACTAGCTGCAGTGATAACGAAAGACAACGGTGCACAACAACAGCAGCAACAACGATTACCAAACCAACCGGCAATTACACGGATTATCAAAACGGGTCCTCAATTGAAAAATGAATCAAGTGCAAACAATGTACGTGTTGTAACTAACACGCCAACTAAGCAAATTATATCATTGGAGAATTTAATGCAGAAGCAAAGCGGGGCGTTACGTATTGGAGCAGGTGTAAATCCTATAAAAGTGAACGCTAATGTGCAAGCCAGAGCTCAAACTCATCTTTACCAACAACAACGGCAACCACAATTTACTATTGTTTCTGTGCCGCAAAGTGTCAACAATAACATAATAACGTTAAGTGGCAGTAATATGACAATGGGTCAACGCGTTATTACCACCCAAGCAGGCCAGGGTCACGTAGGAAGCTCCGGCGCAGTTAGAGCGACGCAAACTATTACTTCGCCTGTAGGACGTGTGCTTACACCCGGCACAAAAGTTCTAACAACAAAAACTATGGCAGCCCACTCTTCTTCTTCTCCTTCGCCCATACGTATAATAAATGCCGCGGGACAAACTAGTAACTTCAGTTTGGCAAATCTGCAAGGCAAGCAAGTAATTTTGGCTACAACTAACAAACCTTTAATGACAGCAGTAAAAACTCAATTGCCATTAAGCACACAAGAAGAGAGTACAAATTCAATAGTCGACAGCCATACCGTCAAATTGCAGCACACAAACGTAAGTTGAAAATTCCTCAAGCCCTTGCAGTGAAAGGGCCTTGAAGGCCTTTATTGTTAATTGTTCAATTCTCTCCGTTTTTAGAATAATGTAGCCCAAGCCATTAGTAAAACTGGGCAAGTCATTAAAGCTTCGCCATCAATAACGTCTCCGTCAACGGGGGGTACTACTGCACCGCTACAAACCGTTATTATGGGGAATCAAGTGCTACGTGTACAGCAAATGCCTCAAATAATAACAAATCGTTTAGCAACAATTAGTAATAATAAAGCGGCGGAAATTTCCGGCAAACAAAATAACACTAACACTAACGCGGCAGCCCAAAAAACCATATTAGTCAGCTCTGCTGGTCAAACGCTACGTCTGCAGACGTCGACAACTGCAGCAGCAACAGCAACAACAAACAAAAACATTGTTATACAAAATAGCAATACTCAACAAGTTAGTGACAGTGAATGATAATGATATTCCTAATATTGTTTCATGTTTCTCCTTTTAGATCAACAACAATACATCAAGCAGCTCAAAAGGTTTTTCTTCGCAAGCGCCGAATCGCGTTGTCTTAGCCGTACAAGGCGGTGGTCAAATATTTCTCTCACCTACATTTCAAAATAGCAATTTAAACTTGAAAGCTTTGCAAAACATGAAATTCGTTTCGGTTACTAATTCAAACAACAGCAATACAAAAGTAAACAGCATAACATCCGCGACGATTACGAGCGCATCAACAACGGCAACAACAAATGAATAGGCCACGTTCTTCTCCCACCTCCCCACTTGTTTTGCAAATAATGAGAAAATCGTAAAGCATTTCAGTTATTATTTTCTTTGTGCACTGTAAACTTTTCATGGCTTTCGTGCGTCAAGCGTAATATGTATATATAAATATATCACTCATACTTATAAAAACATGTACACTTATATGCGTACACTCGCTGAATTAAACTCTTATATCGGCATGATATATTTGCTCTTGATTAATGTAACACATAACCGAGCATATTTAAAATTTGCTTTTACATAACTTGCTAAACCGATATCCGATATCTGTTATAGCAGATGCATACTAAAACAATGATATAATGCAGACAATTAATTTATCTTGCTGACCTATAGTGATTTAATCGTTTTCTTTTTTTTTTTTTTTAATTTAAACAATAATTGTAGGAATTTAATTTGATATAAAGATAAAATACATACAAAAACATGTAACATAAATAAATTCGTATCTCATATGTAAAGAGACAACAGATGAGTATTATATTCTAAATAGCAATTCTGTGTTCATGTCGAAAAAAAAACTGCTCGACATTTCCTTATGCAGAGACTGAAAAGCATCAATTGCTGGGAAGCTGTGCAAATTATGTGCTTAGAAAGCAATTTCTTGTGATATTTTTCATTTTATCATTTGTTATAGGAAATAGAATATCACTTAAGCGAGTTTTAATACGGTGGACGTTCTCTTACTTTCACTCGGAAAAGCTTCCTTTCGCTAAAGCATCAAATGTCAATTGACCTTCTATATCCATCTATCACTGTTGTCGTTTATCGACGGATCCAGTCAAAGTATTAATTTTATTAATCGCTGTTGATTTTTCGCTAAAAGTCGTTAGCTGGTTTTTTCCTTTAGATGGTTTATAGAAAAAATACCTTCTAACGGTTGAATCATAGTTGAACATAGTATATTTACATTTTAAATTTCTCTAAGGAAAATCTTTGAAACATGGACTTTCATTAAAAATTGGCGCTACTGCTATTCTTTTGTTGCTTTTCAGTGGCACTTTTCTCGGTTCTAATAACCTCGGGTCATTTGCGTAACTCTTTAATCTTTCAAGCGCTTGAACGATTGTATTTACTTTACGCTTTTCTTGTAAAATGTCGCAATTTGGCGAAACAAATTTATGTTCAAAACGAAGAAAAATTATCTATGTCGCCGCTTGCTCTTGTAGGCTGCAAGAAAGATATTATTTGATTAAAAACTGACTAAAACTGTGGAAAGGCGATCAATCGCTTCACTTATGTATACGCCATTGCTTGTTGCTTCACTTTTGTCTTCGAAGTAAATAAAGCCACCATCCATGAACTACCATCATTTGAATTAACGTACGAAGCGTTATGTGCATTTAGTCGTTTTTCAAATTTTTCACGTACATTTTGGGCTACACGGGATCGCTCCACAATAATGTGGCAATTCAATTTGTGAAGTTGATATACTTCGCATTAAAATTCTGGTGTGACAGAAATTGATTGGACTTTTTAGCTCAAAGTTCTTTGCCTTTGTTCTTATCTTCCTAATATGAATTTTCAAATTTGCAGTTCATATTGACTAAACTTAAACATTCAATACAGAAAATTAAGAAAATACGAATAGCCATTAACAAACATTATTATAAACATTATTTTATTTTTACTTAAAATGTTTATTAAATATTCCAAAAATATGCGTTTTTTTAATTAATTTTGTTTTTGAGTTTGCTTTGCTTTTCCATATATTTTCCATGATTTTTTTAATTTTTCTGTCAGTAAAATTTATTTTGCTGTTTGCTGCTTTTGAGCAAACAACAACGTTTTGTTCGATAAACCCACATACGTACAGTAACTCCTTGCTGTTTGGTTTATATTTTCAACGCAGATCGCAACTCGATTTAATATATTTAACATAGATCAAAACTCGATTTAATTTGCTTAAATGTATGTGCATAATTGTCTGTACCGAAGGTGTCGTCTGTTCGTACACGTTTCTGTCGGGCTTTTCGTTTTTGTTTATATCTCAAGCATATTTGTTTACGCTCCATACTTGAGTTATTTTATTTGCAAATTTGTACGAATAATATGTACAACGCCTCCCAACTATGTTATAAATGACGAATCACTCCACAAAAGCGGGAGAAAACGTCCCAACGTTTAAGCTCCTGTTGGTCACTAATATTTGCTCAATAATGAGAAGCACACGCCATATTTAATATATGGCTTTTCATTTCTTTCTCTTTTTTTTGCAAAAATTATAACTACGTAAGAGCATTCGTATTCAATAATAATATTTAATGCTGTTTCGTTGAACTGAAGGATGCGAGAAATATTCATTTCATCGATATGTTTGTGACACACAGAAGGAAAGCTCAGGAACCAATAAAGCAAATATATTCTTGATCAGCAGCAGATTCTAAACCGATTTAAGAATATTCGTCCGTCTGTCTATGTAATGTCCTGTGGTAAACAGTCCCCCAGGTGACAGAAACGACGTTATCGGCTTCAAATTGGATAGAAACATTGGCAATTCTTTGAATTGAAAATGGGGTGAATCGGCCAAAGGCCACGACTGCAGTAAAACTTAACTACTAACTTTATTTTCTGTTCGTTATTTATAAACTGCAAGAGATGGAATGATAAAAATGTACCCGTATATTCTCTGGGTTGCTCCTACAACACCTGTACAAAATTATAAGCGAAAGTAAATGACACAGCCGAAAGTAAATTCATATAGACATTATTAGCCACGATTCTGATTTAAACACAAAAATTCTGCATACCTTCGTCCATAAAATTGCCCAAAATGGTTAGAGCAAAATTTAAGACAATATTTTTTTTATAAGCTCATTTCTGCTTATTTTGCAGCATTATCCTTAATTATCCTTAATTTTAGCGTTAACACCCTTATAATTTAGTCTGAGTCAATCAATTATGACTAATATTTTGCGATGAGCTTACAACGCAGTGTAAACATATTAAAGTTATTCTGCAAACTTTATGGCGCTTTTTTAACAACGTATCAATACAATTTCAGCGGATTTTGAAACGTCCTTTTCAGCCGTTCGAAGAGGATATGCCAACTGCATTAACTATAGGAAATAGGGACAATATAGGGACAATACTTTTAAAAGCTATGTTTCAATGCAATTGTGGTAAAATAATATATCAACAAAGTAAAAACGCGTATAAATACTTTTTACGTCACTTTATTACCTTTTCTCAACTACATGATCAAAGTCTATTGAAATGTTTTCGGAATTAAATTTAAATGAGGCTGCGTTTATTTTGCATTTCACATGAGCAAAAAATAATTCCCCACATATTTACAAAAGCAAATGAAAATTTAGTAGATTTGGTAATCTTTCGCTCTCTATACCTGAAAACATTTTTATACAGAGTTTTTAAGCGGCTTTCTTGTGAACTTTTTCAATTGCAATGCATTTTCGACACCATAAAATAATAGAATAAAGTAAACGAACTGCAAGAATTGTTATGCAAATAAAATAATTTAAATTTAAATAAAGATTTCAATTAAATAGAGTACGTAGAGGCGTGCTAGTGACAAGGAAAGAACAAGAACTCCGCAAGAAAATTGTAACGCCGCCGCAAACATAAAAAATAAAAACGAAGGAAGTTCCTCAAAGAATGAAATAAAAGCATACGAAATAATGATGAGATTTTTTAATCTTGGTTTTCATGTAATGAGTAGTAAAAATAAAATTTTAAATGGTAAGCTTTGCGATAGGACACCCTTTTTGGAAAAGAGAAAAGTGCTGCTACTCAACAAATTTTTTTTTTATTTTGTTGTGTTTTTCACTAAAAAATGTTAGATGAATAAAAGTGCTACAGAATGTATTACAGATATTAGGAGCGTCATTGAACCCGTGTAAACCTTTTAGTTAAGATGATAGTGAATTTTGAATATCAATATCCCTAGCAAATCATTGGCTCCAAATTCAGTATTCTTTGTGCAGATAGCTTCCAATTGCTATCTGACTATGATAAAATGCATGGAATATGTGAGCAAATCAACAAAATAATGCAATAAATGGAAGGTATCATATATTCAATGACGGCTAACTTAAATTTTAATAATTTCAATTCAAGGTTCATTATGTGTGCAATGTGTCGTCCAATCAGTTTTTCTTCGGTTCTATGTGTATTTTTCATTGAAGTTTCGAATATAAATTATTTATTTTTTTGTCTTTTGAAAGGAAGAGTCCCAACCATAAAAGCATCTAAGAAGAATTAAATTATTACAAAGCAAAACTATCTAATGGGAAAGGAAAAGACGGCAACTGTAGCAACAGCGACTGAACTTCAGAATTCAGAAAATGTTGAATGTAACACAGATAACAAAGAAAATTCCATAAAAACACAGTTGAATTGTAAGGATTTTGAAGAAACTTCAATCGAATTGAAACTAAATAAAGCGAAACCTGTAGCGAAGGATCCCGAGGTATTGGAGGTATTGGAGGATGATAGTTGTAACAATAGCAACAGTACAAAATACAGTGACGACACTTTACATTCAGCAACAAAGTCTTCGACTTCCTTGTCGCTCTCCTCCAGTACCTCGAATTTAACACCAAGCAATAATAATAAAAAAATCAGAAAACGACATCAGAAAATCGAAGAAGGAGGGGAAAAAGACGATACACATCAAGAAGGAGAAGAAGAGACCGATCCTGCCAAGGAAGGAAGGAAGGAAGCAGAAGAGCCAAAATTCTGTGTAGCGTCAAATAATACTACGAATTTTAAATTACGTATTGTACCTTTGGAAAAATTACTCGAAAAACCTCTACCACAACAACAGCCTGAGGAAGAAGAAGCCTCATTACTGCGCTCTTCTGAAAACAAGGAATCTAAATCTGAAAACATTAAAAGTAAGCGTTTGCCGCGTCGCTCTACCTGTAAGCCAGTAGCAGTTTTCGATTCCACCGAGAGTGAAGAAGACGTCGAGGTAATATCTTCGAGCGAAAGTGAAAAAGGGAAGCATACAAGAAAAAGCAATTTAAGGGATAAACAACACATTAAAAAACCATTAGGACCGCCCTCGCCATCTACGGTTAGACGTTGCTTGGTGAAATTGAAACGCTTCACATTACCTTTAAACGTAAAACAGAACATCACGAACAAAAGCAAGGGTCGTAAAGGGGGAAATTCGCCTACGATGTATGGTAACAAAGAAATCATGTTTGAAAAACCATCCACTTCATCTGGTAGACGTAAAGAGAAAACTTCGGATGAAGAAGATTCTGATTTTGCATTCGAACTAAAAATATCTGAATCAAATCATTCTGGGGATGACAATGAGGATTCCGATGGTGTCGCGAAAAGTAGTAGTGATAGTGAGATTATGCCAACGAGAAAACGTAGAGTTTTCCGCAAAGATTCAAATGCCTCAGATTCGGATTTCCAACCAGAACCTAAAGAGAAAAAGAAGCGACGGCGCGTTAAACGAGAATCTAGTGATGATAGCGATGAAGACGAGAAAAAGGGGGGAAATAAACGCAAACATATACGTAAAATCATGCGAACTGAAGATCTTGATGTGAGCACAAAAACCGCTACTAAGGAGGAAGAAGAAAGAAGAAGGCGTATAGAAGAACGTCAAAAACTTTATAACAAAATTTATGAAAAACAAGATAGTGTGGAGGTGACAGAGTTAGTGTTGGATTTTGATCCAGAAACGAAAGAAACGCTACTGGAAGTGGACAGAGGGTTGCTTAAAAAATTGAAACCTCACCAGGTTACGGGAGTCAAATTTATGTGGGATGCATGTTTTGAAACCATTAAAGATGCTCAAGAAAAGCCTGGGTCGGGTTGTATATTGGCTCACTGCATGGGATTGGGTAAAACTATGCAAATAGTGACTCTTAGCCACACATTATTAACTAATTCACGTAAAAGTAATGTAGAACGTGTGCTTGTAATTACTCCCTTGAGTACGTTAAATAACTGGGCGCGTGAATTCAAGCACTGGATGAGCTTTGCTCGTAAACGCAACATTGAAATCTATGATATGTCCAAATATAAGGATAAGCAAACAAGAATTTTTAAATTGAATGAATGGTTTGAAGAAGGCGGCGTTTGCATATTGGGCTATGATATGTACCGCATCTTGGCTAATGAGAAAGCAAAAGGTTTACGTAAAAAGCAACGGGAACAATTGCAAAACTCACTTGTAAATCCTGGGGCCGATTTGGTTATATGCGATGAAGGACATTTGCTTAAGAACGAGAAAACTTCAATTAGTAAAGCGGTAACACGCATGCGCACCAAAAGGCGAATTGTGTTGACTGGCACTCCATTGCAAAATAATCTTAAAGAATGTAAGTAGTCATTACTGCAGTAGAAAGAGTTCTTAATATTGTAAAACGGTTTTTTAACGTTCCACGTACATAGATTACTGCATGATCCAGTTTATTAAACCTAATTTATTGGGTACTTATAAAGAGTATCTAAATAGATTCGTCAATCCCATTTCAAATGGCCAATATACAGATTCCACTGAAAGAGATATACGTTTAATGAAACATCGCTCTCATATATTGCACAAATTATTAGAAGGTTGCATTCAAAGGCGAGACTACTCGGTATTGGCGCCATACTTGCCGCCTAAACATGAGTACGTTGTGTACACTACTTTATCCGAATTACAACAACAATTGTATGAACACTATATGGTGCATCAGCGTGATATAACTAGCTCAGACTTGAGCGGCAAGGGAGCTCGTCTGTTTCAGGACTTTCAAGAATTGCGACGAATTTGGACGCATCCCATGAACATGCGCATCAATAGTGATTCGGTGATACGTAAGAAAGTCTTGAATAATGAAAATGATTCCATGGATGATTTTATATGTGACAATGATGACGAAGAAGAGGATATAGGGTCAACTTCAGAGTCCTCAGTATGCTCGTCTAAATCATTTGGCAGTGCAGGTGGTGCGGGCGATACGAAACGTAAAGTTGTGAAGACTCGTAATTATCGCAAGAATGCCCGCGAGCTCGGCGAAGTTATTGATGGCAGTGATAGCGAAGAAGTTCAGCCACCACCTAATGACGATCCCTCGGAATGGTGGAAGCGCTTTGTAGCGGAAAAGGAACTTAATAATATCAATCACTCGCCTAAATTGGTCATCTTAATGAGGTTATTGCAAGAGTGTGAAGCTATTGGTGATAAGGTTTTGGTATTTTCTCAATCGTTGCAATCTTTGGATACAATTGAACATTTTTTAGCGTTAATTGATAGCAAAACACGCGGTCACGAATATGAGGGTAAATGAATTTCTATGAAAGAAAATGAATTTAATTTTTATAAAACATTTTCCGTTTAAGGTGATGTGGGTGACTTTAAAGGATTTTGGCGTGTGGGAACAGACTACTTTCGTTTAGATGGTTCTTGTTCAGTAGAACAGCGTGAAACTATGTGCAGAAAATTTAATGATTCTTCAAATTTACGTGCCCGTCTTTTCCTCATTTCCACGAGAGCTGGCGGTTTGGGGATCAACTTGGTTTCAGCAAACCGTGTAGTAATTTTTGATGTGTCATGGAATCCCTCACATGATACTCAGAGTATATTTCGTGTGTATCGTTTTGGCCAAGACAAGCCCTGTTATATATATAGATTAATAGCCATGGGAACTATGGAACAAAAGCTATATGAACGCCAGGTAGCTAAACAAGCTACCGCTAAACGTGTTATTGATGAGCAACAAATTTCACGTCACTATAATCAATCTGATCTATTGGAATTGTATACTTATGAATTAAAACCTAGCATGCCTCGTGAAATACCCATTTTACCTAAGGATCGTCTCTTTGCAGAGTTATTATCGGAACATGAGCACTTACTTTTTAAGTACCATGAACACGATTCGTTGCTGGAAAATGAAGAAAGTGAAAATCTTAGTGAGGCTGAACGTAAAGCAGCATGGTCTGAATATGAAGCGGAAAAAACGCGCACAGTGCAGACGGCGCAATATATGGCCTACGATCGCAACGCGTATGGTGGCCAATATGGAAACGCTTCGGGCAGTGTCACATCCAATAAAATATTCGGTTTTCGCACCGACGTTTTATTGCAACTATTAAACATGAAGGTAGCCAAAGATAATCCCGAATTGACTCAGACAGGTATACTACAGTTGGTGCCCACATATTTGCAGCAGTTGTACACAGAAATGAATAGTGGTGACCCTTCTATGTATAAGGAATTGTTAAACTTACATGCGACCTTGGCTCACCCGAGCGGCATGTATATGAACCCGTTATTGTATGTGAACCAAAATCCAGCAGCAGCAGGCTATTTCCAAGCAGGGCAGCAACCGGGAGGAAATGGTTTAGTTAATCCCATGCAAGCCCCTATAGCCAATATACCACCCCACACCGCTTCCGGCTTTGATCCCAATCAAGTTTACGAAATTGATTAGAAACCTATGCGAAGACATATTCAAATATTTAGATAAACATCTAACCTCACTCAAGTGACTTTAAGAGTTTTCGTCTTTAGTTTTTTGTTTTTCTATTTCGTACAAGATCCTACACATACAGCACAAAGCTATTCTAACATAGCACTGATCTTTCAATAAACTGAATTGATATTTGTCCTCTCCACACTTGTTCTAATTTACGATTTAATTTTTATTTTCCACATTGCTTTGATGCGTTTTTCATAAAGCTTTCAATACATTTATATCGTTTTGCAGTGCATTCAATTATAATTAGTACGTAAATCCTTGACTAATCAACATATTTTAATATTTAATAAGAGAGTAAAGTTATTGTGAAAATTGGTTGATTATATGTCTGAAAAGCGTAACTCTAATTTAACCGAGATCAGAAAGTAAATGTTAGAACATAGTTATATATGGATATATATATATAGATATATATGGATATATATGTGCAAAGAGTAGAAGCAACTGAAGGATATCCCGATAAATAAAGTTAATAAGAAGAAAAGCGACTATACAATATGCATATATAAATATACAAATATATATATGTATATATATATATGTATTATTATATCAAAATATCTTGTTTATCTTTATAACGCTACACATCAACTTATAATCGGCATATAATAGAGGAACTATTTGGGTAATTTTCCCATCATACGAAGCTGTTGTTGCATTTGTTGGGCCTGCAGAATTTTGTGATTTTGAAGATGCTGTTGCGAACTTTGACCAGCCATTTGTGCCATCTGTCCTACCATGTTGGGCAACATGCCCGATCTTTGAGGAATAACTAAACCTGTTGCTGCTCCTACCCCCATAGGAGCTCCTTGCGCTGAAGTTCCTGGCATACCTTCGCCCATTGCTCCAGGTATGACAGGACCAACTACCGGTCGATTTAAACTACTTGGATTTTGTTGTATATCTGATAGACAAGCTTTCCATTCTTCTAAACGGCTGTAGTGCTTATTGAGTAACGCTTCTTTACGCTGTATCTCAATACGTAAATCGTGATTTTCGTCCTTTATCAACTGGTCTGGCTTAAGTGTCGATACAAGAAAACGCTTCTGCAAAAAGAATGCTTCCATTTGTCGGGCCACATCAATGAACCGGTCAATAGTCTTTTGTGCTTCAAACTCGATTTCCTCTTTTGTTGAACCAGTGTTTGCCTCAAGTTTGGTTAACGAAAGTAAACAATTCTGAAAAGCTTCCTCAAATTCGTCCATTAAATTACTGTTAACGTTTGAAGATGAAGTCATCTAATAGGTTTGCTTTTAATTTTATGCCTATCCTTTTTACGCAAAAACACCAAGTCGAAAAATGTTTTCCAATTTTCATAAAAACAACGTTGCAAAAATATGTACTGTGATATTAAAAAACAAATTTCACTTTAGGGCGAAGCGCAAGGCTTGTGACTTGGCAATCAATTCACATTTTCCTTTTCATTTTCTCGTTTTGTTTACCAACAAAGCAATGTAGGAATTCTTTTTTATATATTTTGTTTCGTTTCATCTCTTATTTTCTTAAAGTAGAGAGAGAGTGTATACAAATTATAAGAGATTTCTCTTAGTTTAAATAAATACTGAAAGAGCTCTTTTCTCAAATTAATTGATTAATAATTTGCTTGTTATTTCTTTTATAAGATTGTATTAAGCCGGAACTTGAACTTGTTGAATTTTTATAGAAGAAATATTATCAATATATAAAAACCTTAAAGTGTACGAAGTTTTTACAAATATTTACATATGCGTAAATAATAGATTACTACTTGTAAACAAAAAACATTATATGCCCTCTTATGTTTGGTCACAAAAGCTGCAAAATATTTTTTCTTTTGTACATTAGTAATTTTTACACTTACTTGACCACAATTCCATGTGTGGAAGTTCCATATACGTATTTTCCGTTTGCACTTTAAAAATACTTTTGCCATTTTCCCAGAAGAAATTTTTTTATATTGCAAATAATTTTAATTGCGTTTGATGCGCGGAGATAGTACTTAAAATGCGGGAATTTTTATTATTCATTTATATAAACATGAAATAGTTTCCATGTCGGGGAATATTTTCCATGGTAGAGGAAACTTACAATCAAATATTATGAAATAGTTTCCATATCGAAGAAGCTGTAAAAAGACTTAAATTAGAACCGGAAGATAGAGAAAAAATTTTTCCGCAGTTGGGAATACAATTTCGGAGGCGATATTTGGAAAAAGCTAAGGAGGACAAAGTGGCTGAATTTGAAGCAGACATCCTCGACAATGAATATCTACTTTGTCTAACGTTGCCTTGCAACGCACTACTGCTATAACTACTAGAAATAGTTGGGAGCACTTACATTATTTTACATGCATTTGCATCGACATTTCTAGCACAATATGATTTTGCTTTTCTCCTATACAGCGCACATATTATGCTAACTGTGTGTTTATATTACTACTCTTCATAATCCTCAATTGTCGGAACAGGCTCTACAGTCTTACTCGTGCGTCAATTATAATAATGATTATTTTTATATAATTTCATTAATATTAATAATACCTACTATTAATTGATTGAGATTACTTAATATGTGTTTAGTGAACAAGAATAATTAATATTCATTATAAAAACCTTTTTTTTAGCAAATTTGTAATGATTTGCACGTTAGGAATTCAGCTTTATTTCAAAATAATGCTCACGAAAAAAAGGCCATCATTTGATATTTCTACACTGATCGAAAACGCTTATAGTTAAAGCAAATTTAAAAAAAAAATTACAAAAGTCCATTTACCCTGTAAATTTGAAAGTGAAAGTATACAGGTTAACTGAAAGAAAAGTTGCTTATAAATCAAGGTGAGATCATGTCCGCAATTAGGGCGAATCTTTGATACCCCCGCCTATAATCCCTCCTCGACATTTGCGAAGCACTTTTCAAGCTACGGACATATATTTGTTCGTTTTTTGTTTTTTACGCTGACCGCTTCTTTTAATTTATCATCTTTTTTATGCAATAAGTCAATTTTTTTCCCGTAGGCATATTTGTGAACAGATTATATATACCATTTCTTGCACTAAAATTTTAAGCTGTCTTTTTTACAATTTAAAATATAATATATATATAACAAAATTTAGCTTTTTATCGAAATCTTTGAACAATAATGTGAATGTGAATGGTCAAATCGGAAGGACATTTCTAGTAAACGCATCCTTCAGTGCGTATGCATTTAACAAAGTGTGTTATGGCATTTTAACTTTAGTAATGTTTTAATAAAATGTCACGTTAAAACAAAACGTAAAGCGAGAAAGTAGGAAACGTCCACATTTAGATTGATGTGTTCATGTGTTTCTTCAAGTGGCGGTTAAGTGAGAATTTCAAATCGAAACGTTTTGCGCATAAGTGACAATTAAATTCAGACTTGCGCTTCTCCTTTGTCAAATGTAGTTCATAATGTGTACGCAATTGTTCTATGGCCGCAAACGTTAGCGTACATTTAGCGCAAGCAAACGAATGCGTACTTGCATTTACGTAAGAATTTCCATTGTTCTCCGAGCCATTTTCAATTGTGCTTCCCGACTGTGTTGAGTCATGCTCTAAATTATCTTCTATATTATCAAGACTTTCTTCCTCAGTGCTTTTATCGAATATGTTATTGGTTTGAGATAACGTTGTCGCGTCTAATCCTTCATTTGGATGGGATGACAGGTCAGCTGCAGAAACGTAAATTTCTTCTTTCAACTTTTTATCATAAGTCCCAAATGAGCAAGTGGTATCACTAACATCTTCATTAACGCAAACTGCGAATGATCCTGACGTCACCCCGATAGCTTGTGCACCCAGTTCTAGTAAATTTACGTTGTTTTGAGAATGTTGCTGTTTTAAATGCAGTTCCAGTTCAGATTGTTGTGCAAACTTCTCATCGCAACGAGCACAGTTCAGTGCACAATCATTTATATTTACACTTTCTTCTGCATTGTGCAGCTCTGACTCATCGTTAGGCTTAGCATTTAAGCCTGAGCCTCCTTGCTGACATTCAATAGCATGCGTTTGCCACAAGTGCCTCTCCAGATCACTCTCTTCTCGGAAAACTATAGGAAAAGTCAAAATAAATACTACGGTGTTGCAGTTAAGTGCAATTTTACAAACCTTCCGAACAGCATTGGCAAGTTAACTCATGTTGACGCATGTGATTTTTCATTTTTTTAGCTATCAACACTGCAAGAGAAAATTATTTTATATCAATAAACAAAATGTTTTTATCTTCGGACAATTTACTTTTTCCGCATAATTTGCACTTGATTCTAGCATGTAACGCGCGGATGTGTTCTTTTAAGGCGTTGCGAGATTTACACACGAAACCACACTGAGAGCAACGTATGTGTTTATTTAAATTATGCCATTTCAAGTGGAATTTCAAGCGAACAATAGTCGAATTTTTGAATTCTTTTCCACATATATGGCATTCCAAATCCTTGATTTCGTGTACGCGGCTCATATGCAGTCGATGTGTTTCCTGGTTTCGCGAGATATATTGACATAAGTGGCATTCGACGTGGGTTGGTTGTGACGGCTTAGCTTCCGCATTAGTGTCTTCATTTTTTAAACTACCACATACGTTCGAATTCGCTTGTTGTATGTTTGAAGATAAAATACTCATTGAAGCTTCCGCCATGCTCAACGGCTGATCAACAGTGTTTTCAATCGGTACTGTGGCGGCTTCAATTAACTCTTCTTTTATGGGTGCATGTGGTATATTGAACGGCGTAGCGGTTGCGCCGTCGTATTCATTATCGCTTAAATCGTTAATATAAATAAAATCGCACACATTTTCTTCGTCCGGATCTGGCAGTTCTGTTTTTATTTTCATATTTGCTTGATTGCCTTGTCTTAAGTTATTAAAAAGACGAAACTGCTCTTGTGTTTCTACACAACAACTGCGAAATTTAAATATTTTCTGAAATTCATGTATGCAACTACTACACACATGCTGAGGAAGACCGTCATTTTCATCTATCTGGAAACGGTATTGCGTTCAATGGTCCATTAACATATTTCTATTGCATGGATATATTTACCTCAATATTCCAACTGCTTAGTTCTAAGCGTATTAGCATCATTTCTGTGTTTTCTACAGGCAAATGGAACAATGGCTTTAAGTAATTCGAGTTCACCATATAATAAATACCACAGGTTCGACATGCTTCTATCGAGTCGGCAATGCTATCTTTGTCGCTTGCAATTTCAGTATGGAAGCTTACAGCAGCCATTGCTTTTCGTCTAATTGCAACAAATTTTCAACTTTTGCTAATATTTAAGTTCTTGCTTATGAGAAACGTTTGTAGAACCGTTCATCAAATTCATAGATGAGGATCTTCGCAAATCCCCACAATTTTATTTTTATTAAGTGCACTTTTGCAACCTTACAATGGGTATTTAGAAGGGTTTTCAGAAAAATTTTATTTTGGCGTTGTTGTAAAAATTTAGCAGATTGCCAAGATAAAGAAACTACCTAATCCCTACATTGTGCAAACTTCTAAAATGTAGTAGTTTTTCGTTAAAATTTATTAACTTTGAAAGCAAAAATTATAAAATTCATATAATTGAAAATGAAAGAGGTTTGAAATACCGAATTGTTTTAAGACTTCGCATGGATATGTGTATTCCACTTTGAACTAATTTAAATCGCGTCCACAGCGAACGGAGTATGGCTCTTAAAAGACAATTAACACAAAATCTTATAGGATACCTAAAATATTATAAATAAAACGGGGTACAGGAGCGCGCCGTTTCCATCCTTCGTCCCGTTTATTTAAACAGAACAAACTTATTATTTAAGAGCTTCGAGAGTACAAACTCGTGATATAATGATTATGGCAACTCTAAGAAAACGTCCGACAGAGTGATCACAAACTCGCTAATTAAATTGGTGGCACATGTTGGAACAGGAAGGCGAACTTGTTGGAACAGAGAGGCGAACTTGTTGCTAAATACGCTACACTTTCATAATTATTGTCTGGAATTATTTTTTGTTTTTGACGTGGCAGTCGACCGTTAGGTAAATTTTGCACATAGTTAATTCAAAATGAACAGCGATAGTTTGAGAAAGAAGAACAAAAAATCGACAAAAACGTGAATAGCAGGTGTAAGAAAAACGACAACAGAAAAAATTAGTGTAATAGTGTAAAAACGAATTAAATTTTTAATGGATCAATGAAATGAAGAAAAATCAATTTAATAGCAGGAGCGTAAACTTCGCTGACGCAGTTAAACCAAGGTTTGCTAACCTGATGCAAATTTCAACACCACGGGCGGGTAGCAAGATTTTCAAGTTATATAAATAGTAATAAAGAAAATGGAAGAAGTATGGTGACTTGTAATTCAGAATTTTTTTATGCAATATCTTATAAAATCATTCCCGCAAACCGGCAGATTAGGTTTCGCGGTATTCGCGGCGTATCTGATCTATAAGACGAGCAAAATCTTGAAGTAATTGAAAACATTTGGTAATTTTTCCATCCTGGAGTCTACTAGTAGACTAGGAGTCTTCTTATCTGTGTTCATCTAATTTTATCTTTTAAAATGTACAACTTATATACTAAAATATTACAGCAAATAATACTTACTTTAGTTATAATTAAAAATAGGTCATCCGCCTGAGTGGCCGAGTAGGCAAGAGTCTCGACTAGGAACTCAATAGTCGTGGGTTCAAACCTCAAGTGCGGTAGAGTTTTTTAATAAAAAAGCCGATAGCCCTAGATGCTAGTGCTTTAAGACTTCAGTCTTAGAATTTATTCTCTGGCTAAATTTATAATAATTAATAATAATAATAATAATAGTAATAATAATAAAAATAGGTCAGTTAAAATAAATGCTTACACTAATAATAAAATATAATTGCTTATGCTAATATACATTATGTCGCGAAAATGTATTGAAAGAATATATTTTCATTAAGATTAATTATACTAAAAATAAACGCGCATGTTAAACGTGGATTTGGCGAAACTGATTTGACAAATATGTTTTATCTGAAAATAAATCACTTTTATAGCTTGTTGCTCATTTCTTATGAAATAATATAGAGTATAAATCAAAATTTTAAACTATATAAAATAAAAGAGATTTAAATTAGTGCAAAATAAACACCCACAAATTAAATAAATAACTGCCAACTTTAGAACAAATTGTTTTAGCTTCGTTTTCTATTTTTATTTCTTTTTCTTTATTTGTTGTGTACATACAAAGCATATGATTTATCAATTCCCACAAATTTGATCTCCTATCCCGAAAATACAACAACACAATGCATCGTGCGTCGTGCGCTTGATGTTGAAGAAATGTCCCAATTGTTTGTATTCCCTTTTTTTTTTCATCAGCAGTGATAGCTGCTATTGAAGTAAGCACAGCGAATTGAAAAAGCGTTCTGAGTAGAGAAAGAGAGCTTTTATTAATAATTCATCAAAACAAAAAAAGAAAAATTAATAAAGTTATACATATATAATAAAGTTACCCTTAATTGCTCCACAGGGCGTAAATAGTCTGGACGGCTTAATGAATTGCGCGGGGGATATTAAAGATCTTTCCAAATAATCTAAGCATTGTCTAGCCAAAAGTGTAACCCTGGCTAACACAAAAGGATTTGGTTGTTCTGCCGAAGACCATATATTACCGCAATGTGGTTGTTCATAACTGGTAACAATGCAAAGGGGCGGAAAATGGTCGCGCTCTGCATTAAACCGTTGCTCCAAATCAGTAATTTCTGAAACTAAATAGAAAAAATACGGCTATTGACTATATATACAAACAATTCTTGTCAAACTCATCTTGCCTTCCATGTTATCATTAAAAGCTTAGGATAAGGATCCGGCCGTCACCAGATGTAATGGAGCTGGTAGATCGACTAAGGAAGTTTCTATTGTAGAGTTCGTGTGGCGGCTCCAGGCCTGAAAATGATTACTTCCTCATCGACAAAGTAAAGTACAAACTCGCAGAGAGAATCGAAGAACAGTAACTTACGACCTTGATAGGGAAGTATTCCCTACACACATCGAAGAAGACCACCGGCGGTTGATTTTTTTAAACTAATTCCATCATTTGCAGTTTAATGATGTTTAATCAATTTTCGAAATGTTTAATAATGTTTAATCAAGTTTAATAAAGTTTAATGATATTTGCTTTTCTGGGGTTAAAATGTAAACTAAGATCGGCGCATGCATCGAAAAAAAAATTATCTTTCATCGAGAGATTATTGACAGCAGCTGAAAAAATGAGACCGCAGATACAATTAAGAAATCATCTGCATATTGGAAAATGTGAGTTTTGTTATCTTGAAGATCTTGCAAAGAGGCTGTGAATAGATTAAAGAGTATGGGGCTTAAGCAACTACTCTGTGGGGTACCACTACATATTTCAACTTTGCTGATGTCCAAGGAAACACACCATTGAATTACAACCATTTTACCAGCTTTTTTTAAGCTAACTATTAGAAAAGATAGTTCGTTAACGCACATATTCGTACATTTGCGTTTTTGATAGGCGTAAGAACGAGCTGGAATAATGTTCTCAGTTTTCAAGAAATCACTTAGTCTCCCCTTAACCATGAGGTTGATAGTCTTTATGAACATAAATATTAGTAAAATTGGTCTGAAGTTACTTATATCATTTAAATCTTTACCTGGGTTAGCAATGGAAACTATTTCGATGCATCGCAAATCTGAGGATATCAAGTTGGTGAACCAGCAGTTGTTAATTGCATGCAAGAGAATGCTAAAGCTTCGTCCAGACAGTGCTCTGAGCATGTCATACTTAACTCCATCACAACCTGCAGCAGTATCCTTCTTTCTGGAATGTAAAACACGCATTAGCTCATGCAATGAAAAAGGTGTGTTGTTGAGACTAATAAAAGGAATTGAAGGTATTGTAATCGGATTGATACTTGGAATGTAGCTCTTGAGCATATCGAAGTATCTTTTATTATCGTGGTCATTCTACACAGCACAACCGCCTAATTTTCGACTAGTATGTCGATGACCATTGATGTAATTCCAGAAAGAACGTGGGTTACCGTTACCATATAACTCCTTAATTTCGATAGCTCTATGTATCCTTTTTGCCTTTCTAACTTTTCATATATTCAATGTAGTTGGCTGGATTGGCATATTTAGCCATTTTTTTCCTTGCAGCTTGGTATTTGCGGGAAAGTGTTGACAGGGAAGAGTTCCGCCAAGGTTTAGGTGAGGAAAGTTGGTTCTAGCGGACTTGGTCAGAGACTGAATTGGTGACAAATCGGAAGGAAGATTAACTTTGGACAGACGAAAGGAAGTTGCGTGAGATGAATTTTTCTATTTGCTTAGCGGAATTGTTACAACTGTGGAATAAAATGGGGGAGTGCTGACTTTTGCAAATGGAAACATTGGACGTGTTCCAGTTGAAAGATAAAATAGTTGAATTCGAGAAAGTTAGATCCAAGACACTGCTCGGCGTGCGACCGCTCCGGTTGCTGGAATTGATGGCATTTACAAGGATCTTGCCTTTGTTGGTCGAGTCTTGATCACCATACAGGCAATACCTAGCATTGAAATCTCCAGCTTGAATCACATTTTGTTCGCCGTCGAGAAAGTCACATAATCTCTGCATCTTATCACGAAAGGTTTTTACATCGAGACTGGGTGGAAAATAGCATGATACTATGAAAAGTTCAGTTTAAGGTTCATAGTTTTGATGATGATGAATGTTAACAGCAGAGTTGTAGGGAATACGTCTGAAATTGACACCTTTCTTAACTAATACACTGACGGGGTCGTAGCCATCATATCGGCGTTTGGTGGCTGAAGCATAATTCCAAAACCTTAACTTACTTTTCAATATTCAATTATTGTTAAATCAAACTTTGAATAGTAATAAATTTCAAGGCATCCATGTATTAAATCGAGCTCAATTAATGGATGATATATTATGGTTATATATTACGGTGAGTCTGGGGTTGTTATACCGATTATGATGTTACATTCGGTTTTCTCTCATTTATGCTATTGGAAAGGCAGTACCTACCTTGGCGAGCTGGTATGGAGAGTTTAAGTCACGTCAATCGTTTATTAAGAACTTTTCATCCGGCATGTGAAACTTTTCAACATTTTATGCTTACAATTATAAGACCAGTGTGCTATTATTTAAACGGTTTGAATTATACTCGTCCACAATACGAAATGTCACACCTAACAATTTTGAATAAATCTTTAATATCAAGTTGGGCTTGTCGTTTGGAAATTTATGATTGTGTTAATACCGTAATTATATATTTCCCTGAATGGAAGCAATCGGCAAATCCACGAGATAATAATCACGTGTGCTCAGCTTGCTAATGACATTTCTAGCTGTCTATATATACATACACAGTAGAATAAACCTAAATCTGCTAACTGGGCAAGTTTCCCTCAGAATTTAAAAATCGCGCATGCCAAATACAAATTATGTGTCAATGAATACACAAAAGGGCTCTCGACGGTGTCATAAAGTCTGTAAAAATTCTGTAAAATAATGTTCCGATTGTGTTTACCACTTGGGAGCTTTTGTACCATATAACCATAGATTTATGTTCAAGCGCTTGGAGTAACGCATGCATAATTTTCCGGCTTATCTCAGCTAGCAATTGGGGTGGTCCGACATATTGCTACCCATTTCCGTTTGTCCTTTCAATTGCTTTCTAACAGGGAAACAGAAGGCGGATTTTTAATAAATGTTAATACAGACAGATTGCATTAGTACAAGAATCACGGACGGTGTTGACATAGACGGAGATACCGGACAGGGACGGGACACGAACACGGTTTAAGAAGTTTAACTGTATTCTGGATGTAATATTGCATATCTACCTACTATGGTTCCGCCTCTGGCGGTACGGTTCCGACGACCAGTTCAATTAAACATATTAAAATCAATTAGTATTAAGAGAAAGTAAAAAAAAAAAGAAATGGAAGGTGTATGTATATATTTGCGGTAATTAGATTATTATTAATATGTAATATAATATTTAATATACACATTTTTTTTTTTTTCATAAAATAATTAAATCTGCTTTGAAAAAATTGTTGTATGATTTCTTTTCATAGAATTTATTCAGAGTCCTCTACCCGCGTTAGAACCTCACTTGTTCCGGACTCACTATTATCATCATCATCCTCTTCAATCTCTACTCAGAACTACCAGTGGGAAGTAAGTGCATAAAATGTCCTTTGACCCACTCCCCTACGGTCCCTTGTCTAGCTTCTGTGATCGTTTCAATTGCCATCTTTATTTGGTTTACTTCACTTTGGTTGAAGTCTCGTTTTACATATGTTTCGAAAATGGCGTCAGCTGTTCCTCTTTCTTTTGACAATTGGTCTCTTTCAGCTTGTAAGGATGAGAAAAGGAAGCTGTCTTGATCGTAGGCTGATACGGCTCTGTTTCTCGCTTCTCTTTGTCTACCTATTGTTTGTTTCTTTACATTTGCCATTATTTCTCTGAAGGGAAAGATTTCCTAAATAAATTATAGCAATATTTTTTGCTGCTTGACAAAGACCGTGGGGTACGATAAAGTAGGCTCTTTGAGACCGGGTAATACCCATTAATGACCCTACCCCATGGATAACAACATGAACAGTTCGATTGTTTGCAACTGAGTACGGACTTCTTTCTGTTAGCCTTAACGGTACACAATACGGAAAATAAGAGTAGCTGACTCTAAATTCCTCCTTCTCAAAGTCATGGAACATTTGATCAAGATCTGAACTTATCTGTGGAAAAAAGACCCACTCTTTAAACCCAAAAACATCCTTGTAACCCAAAATTTGCGACATATAAATTAGGTCACGATATGCTGACATACCATGATATTGGGTTACAATGGTTCATATTCTGATGTTGCTAAATGGACTCTTCCCTACTAAGTCCAGGAAAAGGTCTAAAGTTGCCATCATAAACGTTACCTTCTCCATCTTTTGAAGGGTGTCAAATTGAGTTAAGTAAGCGTATTCTCTGTAGTTGGCAATTCCTTTAACTTGACTTCGAGCTAGTGTTTTAATACGCTCCTCCAATGTATTCCTTTGCGTAGAAGCAGTTTGACCCATCCTGTATGCACCGCTTAGTTGAGTCATCAACCATAGGTCATCTTTTTCATTAAAGGATGTGCTATTGTTCGGATTAGGATCACTTATTCTTGTCGCGTTTAATGTAATATTAACAAAACTCAACGGGGTAACTTCACCGGGTTCTATTGTGCAGCCGTAACTTTCCCATCTTTTTGTCAAGTTATATTTCATTTTCTCAGCTACTAGATACATATAATGAGGGATGAAGTCCGGCGTGGGACTCCTGGCTATGTCAGTCGCATGGAGATAATCAAAAAGAAGAGATCGCAATGTTTCGAGACCGCAGTCATAGGCGGTAATTTCCATGGTAGGTTTGTCCCTAGTTTCCGAGAAATACTTATTCGGATATTCAACTCGTTTTTGATTGATGGGGATCATAGGGACTTTCAGTTCGCTGCCAGTAAATGCACAATAGTATGTCAAGTACTCCGTCTTAGGGCCTTGATGGGTCTCCGGTTGGATTGATTCGTTTGTTTGGTTCATCATATATATTTCACTGTTGTTTAAATAATTAAAAATTTTAGTTTTAGACGTTCAATGAGCAAGAGTCAATGAAGAGTAGGAGTAAACTCACCCGATACTTAAATTCCAGACGGAAATGGTTCACAATCTCAACGCGAAGTAGAAAAATTTTTTTTTTTTTAAAAACGTGCAATAATTTTAAAATTTAGCAACTTTTTTGAATTTTAGCACGTTTCTCTCCTTTTCAAGCTAAAAACATCGATAATAATTCCAAGAAAGGTCGTTACTAACCTCTTACACCATCAATTGAATTATTATCAAGTCTTTACACTTTTAGTGCGAAAACGAAAATGGCGCCCGTTGTGTCAGCGGAATGTGACTAAAAAGCAACATTGATCGAATGTCAACTCTGCCAACAAAGTCTATTTGGATATTTTTAATACCCATTCATTTTGGAAGTGTTGTAAGCTCTGGCAAGTTTATTTTCAGTTGTAAATGGGTTTTCGCCGACCCCTCCATTGATGAATATACACAGCGTTCAGTCGAATTAATTTTTCACTTGCCTCAGATATTACATTGTATCTTGAATTGTGTTATTTGTCTTTTAAAAATTCGCTATATATGTGTACACAATAATATACTTTTTTTTCTTTCGTATGGTAAGTTTTCTTTGTTAACCTTTGTTTTTCCCATCATGTACTTAAAAGCAAAATAAAAAAGCCTAAGGGTGTTAATAAAAATAATTTTTTTGTAAAACAAAATTTTATCTCAAGAAAGCATATTATAGGTCTGTAATTGAATCAATGTTCTCATAAATTAACAATTCCGTCGAATATTTGTACTTCATTACGTCCGGTGAAACTATTAATTGAATACTTCTTCAAATCATTAATCGGTTCAAGTGAAAGAGCACCGTAAAGAAAATTACTCCTGTGACACGGGAGGTCGAAATGATTTAATCGCTTCTATCCATTGCGAGGGTAAATGATTATTCTGCTCAAATTTATTTCAAGGCATACATCTGTGAGTAGCTTTTTATTCAATTTCGCAAAATATATTTGTAGAAGCTTTTGATAAACCCAAACGATATATTGGAAATCTCGGACACACTTACTACCAGACTTTTCATAAAAGCAGCTAAACAACCCAAAATCCCGCTTTTGCGCTATTAATTTTGTTCAATTTACCACTTCTTGACTTAGATATTATTTTTGGTTAACGTTCTACCAGCGGTTTCTCAAATAGCTCATTTATGGTTTGCATGTAATGGGCAGATTTGGAATTTTGTATTTTTTAACAAAAAAAAAAAAATAATAATAATACATAAATAAATAAATAGAAGAAGAGTTTCTACCAGATTTCAACATTCTTTTGTTTTTTGATTAGTGGTGAGCTTAAAAAAATTGTCACTTTGTGGTCTTCGTCGAATTTTGGTTTTTGTGACGGCGACAACACAAACGCCGGCAAAGTGGACGCACGCGGTGGCCTCGTCCCCCAGGATTACACAGGCATGGTGGGGCTGACGGGTAGCGGTGGAAATAGCGGCTCCAGCAATGGAGGTCCTGGCGTTGGGGTGCCCAGCATCGGTCCTGGTGTTGGGCCAGGACATATGTACAGTGGAATTGGACCACAAGACAGTAAGCTTTCTAATTCATAATATAGTGGAAAATTGTACCTTCTCTGATTTAATTTTATTTGCAAGTGCGTGATATAGTTCAAATGCCACCCCCGCCGCCTTCGAATGCCCCGACTTCAGCTGATGCTTGTTTAAGTATCGTTCATTCTCTTATGTGTCATCGGCAGGGCGGTGAAAGTGAGAGCTTTGCTAAACGTGCCATAGAATCATTGGTGAAGAAATTAAAAGAAAAACGAGATGAATTGGATTCGCTAATTACTGCCATTACCACGAACGGTGCACATCCAAGCAAATGTGTTACTATACAACGTACGTTGGATGGTCGGTTACAGGTGAGCTCCTAACTCGACATATTTGACACATTACGGGAGATAGTAAATTGCACATTGTACCCTAAAGGTGAAGGGAAACTCGTCGAGAATTTCGTAAGATGTCTCTCCAAAGAATTCCTTTCCTATGTACTTAACTACGATATATGTTGGACAGAGGGAGGTCACCGTTCTAGCAGCTGGAAATGGCGCTGCGGGCAGTTTCGTAATAATGTTGTTTACCCTTAAAATTGCAGGACCGTTAATGAGATGTTATATAGGTTTCACCTATGGATGAGGAAATGACCCCAATCATTTTCCCATTCGGATATTGAAAGACGTAGCGGATAATTTATTGCTGGCCTTGTTCTAATCATAAGGTGTGCCTGTTACCGCTTTCTATTCTGAGTGCCCTCATAACAGAGGCACAAAAGAAAAAAGTAAAATGTTCACTTATATGAACATCTACTTGTGAAATCTTCACTTTACAATAGAATTGAAAAATTATTAATTAGTTGTGCTGTTCTAAAAGAAATGAAGGGGAGTTAACGTACGGTCTTTTCACAACGTCAACTGACTATTATGTCCTTTTTATCCTCCTTTGCGTTCTCCCACGAATAGGATCTGATCGGGCTTAAGATCACGGACACTGCATCTTACTGGGCGCTAACTTGGGAAGACACTTTAAGGAGCTAGTCAGATAAAAACATTTCTTAGTTTTCCAAATTCTTTCTTTGAGAAGAAGAATGCAAAACTCGTACTCATGGTTTTTACTTTTCGGGCTTTTCTTGCTTCAAAATTTTCTTTCAAGGTCGCGGGTCGGAAAGGCTTCCCTCATGTCATTTATGCACGTATTTGGCGTTGGCCTGATCTTCATAAGAATGAATTGAAGCATGTTAAATATTGTGCATTCGCTTTTGATCTCAAATGCGATTCTGTTTGTGTGAATCCTTATCACTATGAGCGAGTAGTCTCCCCTGGGATTGACTTATCTGGGCTCAGCTTACAATCGGGACCAAGTCGCCTTGTGAAAGATGAGTATTCAGCGGGTCCACTAGTGGGTGGAATGGATATTGATGGGAACGATATCGGCACAATACAGCACCATCCCTCACAGATGGTTGGTCCACCGGGCAGTTACGGTTACCCTCCTCAAGGTTCAGGTAATTAAAAGAATGGCAACCGGTTTAATTTTTTGTTAACTTTTTTTACTTTGGTTATTTTTCGTTTAATTTTCCTAATTTTTTATTGCGATTATTTTGGGGTAATTGCTTTGATGAAACGTAGTTGCTGATCCTGGTCATATAAATGCTGCCGCTATGTACGCTGCCGCTGCTGTGGCAGGTCGTGCAATACCAAAAATTGAACCAAGCGACGTTGCCCCACGTAATACGTGGCTAACCCCGCCACCACGACCTTCTAACCAAACCACAACTCAGCAAACAACTACTGGGCAACTAGTTCCGCAAGTACAGCCACAGCAGCCATCACCTACAGGGCAAGCTCAGCAACAGCAGCCACATACAACCCCAAACCCACAACATACGCTTTGTAAGAATTTTTTTTTGTTTCGTTTTTTTTTCCGGTTTCCGTTGTTCATTTCACACCGTTTGAAGCTATTTATCCGATAACGTACATTATTTTTGTGCAATTTTTTAGTGGGTCACGGTTTGGCAATGGCTGGTGCTATGAATCCTGGTCAAGTAATGGCTCCTCCACCTTTACCCCAAGCTCAAAATCCCCAGAGCAACGGCCACGTTGTACAAACGAGTTCCCCGTCAGATCCTACTGGTCTTGGCCTACAACAACCGCAACAAGCTGTAACTGCCAGCGTAACCAACAGCCAACCGAGCAATTATTATGGTTCCCCTACCACTTCACAAATACCAATATCTAATGTGAATGAAGCAAAATTTAACGCTACGCTTAATAATAGCGGTACACAGCAATCCATTTCTTCTCAGATGCAACAAAATGGTTATGCTCAAACCACCTACGGATCTACTGTTGCTGGAGGCAATAATGCTCAAAACGCCAATGCTACAAGCAGTGGTGGTGCTGGGTCAGTTCCATCGGGTCCTAATGGCACACCGGCCGCTGGAACTTGGACTGGGTCTAGTACGCTCACATATACGCAGGCAATGCAGCCGCCAGATCCGCGGGCTATATCAGATGGTTACTGTAAGTATGAGAGTCTTTTTTGAAGACGACTTTTTTTACTTTTTATTTTCAACTCTTTAACTACATTCGTACACGTTAACATGTTTAAAGGGAACAATATCATGGCAGGTGACAATATGACAGGCCAACCTCAGCAGCCGCGTTTGTTATCTCGACAGCCTCCACCAGAATATTGGTGCTCGATAGCATATTATGAGCTGGACACACAAGTGGGCGAAACGTTTAAAGTGCCATCGGCAAAGCCAAATGTTATAGTCGATGGTTATGTAGACCCTTCCGGTGGCAATCGTTTTTGCTTGGGAGCTTTAAGCAATGTCCACCGCCAGGAGCAATCAGAAAGAGCCAGGTATAAACGCTGTTAGTACACGTTAATAAGTTATTAGTTTTCGCACTTTTTTTGTTTTAAAAATGTAGACTGCATATTGGTAAAGGTGTTCAATTAGATTTGCGTGGTGAAGGTGACATTTGGTTGCGTTGCCTTAGTGATAATTCGGTATTTGTGCAAAGTTATTATTTGGATCGTGAAGCGGGACGTACACCCGGGGATGTTGTGCATAAAATTTATCCTGCTGCTTGCATTAAGGTTTGCATTACTTACTGGATATTATCTGAGAATAATAATAATTTCTAATCCAGGTATTTGACTTGCGGCAGTGCCATCAGCAAATGCACTCACTAGCAAGTAACGCCCAAGCAGCAGCTGCTGCTCAGGCAGCAGCTGTGGCCGGCTTACCCAACGCTCAATTGGGAGCCCCATCGCGAAGTAATAAATAAATGGCACAATTAATGAGAAAAGATTGACATAACAATTTACATTGTAGATCTCTCAGCTGCTGCAGGTATCGGTGTCGACGATTTGCGTCGTCTGTGTATTTTACGTCTTAGTTTTGTGAAAGGTTGGGGACCTGATTATCCAAGAGAATCAATAAAAAAGACTCCTTGTTGGATTGAAGTGCATTTACATAGGGCTCTCCAGCTGCTTGATGAAGTTCTACACGCCATGCCTATAGATGGACCGCGAGCGATTGCCTAAACGGAACTTTCAAGCACAGAGAAATATGTCAGAACCGATGCTTTAACCAATCCGAATTGAAGTTAAAATATTTATACAATTTTTTATTACGGTATTAAATATGTTTTTGTCCTTTCGATGCGGCCGCATCATTATTTTATCCCTCTTGCTAGTTCTTACTTTTAAATGTAAAACTTTCGATTTTTTTTTTTGCAAGTCTTTCGTGATGATTGTACGAAGTCTTTACACTTTCGTATCGTTTTTTTGAAAATTATTTTTACGACAAAAATATTCGTTTTATATATTTTGAGTTTTTACAGAATTACTTTAATAAGGATTATATATCCAAAAACAGATGTAGATTTTATTGTAAAGCAAAAGCAGCAAAATATAAATATCAAATATATTTATACATTATGTGCAGAGCAATTTTAAACATAGTACTAAACTATAAAGTATATCAATTAATCATTCCTCTTACTGGGAACAGTTGCATGTTCCCGGTTGATCAACGAATGTGTACATATTTATGAAGGATAATATTGAACGACACAAGGTAAGACTAAAACAGAAGACAAGCCTAATTTTTATCGTAAGCTTTAATGATAAGCAACACTTGCTTGTCTAACCACTTCAGCCATTCCTCAGTAACGTATCTGCCCAATGTCACCTCTTGGAAAACTTTCGAACGTGTCACTTCTTCAAATTGAATTTTTTGAAACATCTTTATGGATTTTGTATTATCCATACCAATCTTCGCTACGAATTTTTGAATATTCAAGTACTTTAAACCGTACTTTAACATAAGAAGCACCGATTCCCAACCAAAACCCTTCCCTCTCATTTCTGGTTCAGCGATCATAATTTCAATTTCGGCAAGTTCTTCTCCGCTTTCTTCTTTCGGGTGCAAAAATAGATTTGTATCGCCAATTAAAGCTTTAATTTCATCTCCAGTCGTTTCGTACGTTTTCCGGCATAATATTAGGAAAGTACATTTATCTTCATCTCTTCGCCATGTCCTTTGCATTTCATACTCTTCCTCCAGCGTAAGAGGTTCGGACGCGGTCAACTTTTGCAGCTCTCTGGATTGCATCCATTTGTGGTATTTGACTACGTGCTTCCACTCATAAGGTACCAAAATGACATTTTTACCAATAATTTGCGTATTTTCGTTAAGCCGCATTGTTGATTACTTAAAATGTTTCACTCCTTTTGACGCATGAATTAGGTTTCACTCAAAACGGATAATGATGCCCACCTCGGTTGCATGTGTATGTGTAAGATATAATCTAAAGGAAATTATTTTGTTCGGCTTACCAGCACCTAAGTAAGTAAAAGAAGCAACACGAGCATTCAGGTAAACCACTTCTCTAAGCACTTTCAATATTTTCGACAAAATAAAATCCACGCTACAAAATTTGGTATTCCTTTAGATACAAACTGGTAAACAAAATATTAAATTGTAACGTAAACTGCCTTTCGATTCTACAAACTCTTTTTCAGATTAACAGCTGAATTTACATTGTAGATCTCTCAGCTGCTGCAGGTATCGGTGTTGACGATTTGCGTCGTCTGTGTATTTTACGTCTTAGTTTTGTGAAAGGTTAGAGACCTGATTATCCAAGAGAATCAATAAAAAAGACTCCTTGTTGGATTGAAGTTCGTACCAGTTGAATTTGAAAATTGTTTAGGCACACTTCTATGTTTGAAAATAAATTCGTGATTATAAAATTTCTTAATTTCTTTTATTTTACAAGTTAGCTTAGAAATAAAACGTCATAATTTTTAAACAAAGTCCTTGCTAAATTCCCTGTTAAAAGACAAAGCACAGAGTCGCTTATAATATATATAAATGGTTAAAGCCCAACTTAACAACTTAAACGTTAACGCTAATCAATTGGCAAAAGTCAACACTCTCCCCATTTTATTTCGCAATTGCAGCGTTTCCGTAAAATAAGTAGAAAATTTAATATCACGTAACTTCCTTACGGACCGCTTGTCTAAAGTTTATCTTTCTTCCGACTTATTATCAATTCAAAGTTCTTTTCAGTCTGAGGTCAAGTCTGCTAGAACCAACTTTTCTGATTTTGAGCCCTTTTCAGTTCCCATTCCTAGAACAACAATTAAACAGTTCAGACCCGTTTCGCTAATATCATATTTATAATATATACATAAAGATTATTAATTTCATGAATAAGGTGCGGCTAATGGATTTCTTGAAAACTGGGAACATTGTTCTAGCTCGTTCGAATTAATTAAGGTCAAGATAATGAATCCTTCTTTGTTTCAGAAAGTTATATCTCCCAGTGATAGTGTCTCTTGCAGCTTGCTACACATTTTGTTATCAAAAACTCCATCACATTTTCGGCCAGATAAATTCAATCCCTCTGGTATTTTATTACCAATAAATGTATGAGGATCTTATGACAAGAAAAACTTCTTCTTTGTTGCAGCAACGGCTACGATATATTTTTGTGCCACTGACGGTTCCGGTCTAGCTGTAGCGAAGCACTAATTTGTTTTGTTGGAGAAGCGAATTTATCCTTTTAATTCATGAAAATTTTTTTTTTTTTAATAATTTGTCTCTATAACGTTTTTTTTTCAGCCAAAGTTTGCAACACCATTTCTACATCACATTCAACAACTCAACAATCTGCTACTAATTACTACGGTTATGGACATATGAGACACAAATTTATTCTCTTGGTCCATCTCCAATCAACAAACTAAAGAAAATAAATAAATAATTACTACGGCTTATTCTTTGTACATATAAGCCAAGTTTCATTAGCTTGGTCCATCGTAACTCAACATCCAAAAAAAAAAGAAACAAAAAAACTTAGAACTAAAAAAATTTATTCGGTAATTTTGTACTTTTTTTTTGTGCATTTAACTATTAAGTACCAGAGTTCTCTCAACTATTAAATACATTCAAAATGAACAAATTCATTATCTGTGATATGTTATTCCGTTGTTGATTTCGTTTCGTTCCGATCATCTTAATCACATTAGCATACGATTATTTGCATTGAACGTACTGTCGACTTTTAATACTGTCGACTTGTCAGGATCTAACCAATTGCAAAATTTTTACAATGCAGAGAAATTTAGGAGATTTTTAGTCAACTGAAATTATAAAATTTTCAAATTTATACGAAAAAAGTTTCAAAATATCTAAAAAAATAAAAGAAGTACTTTCGCAATAGGTTTCATGTTGATTAATTGCCATATACGTAAATTGTTAGCCAGAGACCAATTTGTGAAAGTGACTTCGAAACAACAGGAAGGCTAAACAAAATTAAAGTGTTTTTGCCAATCAAAGAACAATAAAAAGCAAGGGGTTTTCATCTGTAACCAATGTGATTTAATCCAATCGGGCATTGAGTCCGATTTAAACTTGAAAATACTTGGATTCAATCATTATTGGCTATAACAGAAGTAACCCATCAACAACCATGTTCAGTGGCAAAGAAACCGAACAAACTAAGAAATCACCAAAAATGTCAATTTTGGGGCCATTGGGAGATGACTTAGCTTGTGAATCAAAGTGTAAAAAACCAAAATTGGATCAGCATGCGAATGATATGAAAGTGGCTTTTTCGTTGAGTGCCATTGAAGAGATGAAACAGAGAGTTGACGAGGACAACAATATAGAAAAATTAGATAAGCAGCTCCGTCAGTTTCAAGTAATTGATGAAGTTGGTTCCAATAGTGAGGAAGACGATGGTAAGTAGGTTGTACACTTGCATACATTTGAAAAGTTGATCATATTCATTAAGTTATCACAAACAGCACATCAAATTAGAAGTATACCATCTAAACTCATTATGTGACACTTTCCATTTTTTTATTTATTTATTTTTTTTTATCTTAAATCAACAAAAAGTCGTTTATCTTATTTTAACGGAGGCAAGATAATGTTTTTAACTCTTTTGCATTTCTCCTTTATTTAGTAAGTATAAGAAAAGAAGACGGTATTTTTAACTCTCAGCGTTAGCGATTTTTAAGCTTTTAGTTGTTTTGATAAAACGTAAGGCCCGAGAAGATTTGTTGCAAGTTGTCCTATTTTTGATTTTAAAGCATGTCAGAGATCAGTTCATATTTAATTTAAAGTTATTAAATAAAACAAAATGCGTATGTTACCAATTTTACGTTTGGACATCATTTCGAATGCAAATCAGAAAGCAGGTGAATAGATCGCGGGTAATGCCTGTTGATGACAAAATATGTTCTTAACATTATTTAACCTTTCGGCTTATGTAACTAAAACCATTTACTTACATAAAAATGATGCGTTTTTATTGCACACATTCTCCAAGTCATAATTACTGTGCGATGCATACTTCTGGTTAAAATAGTCAAAGCGGAATAACGGAAACTCCTCCACGGATGGAATTTTATGTTAATTCAATTCTATCATTCTATTTTCCTTCACTATTATATTTGTTGCTCTATAGTGTGTGCAAGCTTAGCCAAATGCATATGTATTTTGTTTTCTACCGAAACATTTTTTATTTTCACAATTTTTTTAAATTAAACTTAGACAATTTTAGCGAAAATGGTGATACGAATCGCCAGAATGGCGAAGCTGATAACGAAGAGTACGAGTCTACGGATCTAGATTTGGACGATGAAGAAATTGAGCATTTACTTGATGAAAACTTGCCAGACGATCTGAAAGCGCCGAAAAAGCCTAAATATGAAGAACGTTTCAAAACTGTTTTAGAAGGTAAAAGCCGCCCTTTTAAGTCATTTGAAATGTGTTCGAAAATTGAAAAATTGATTTCATTGTTAGAAAAGCGACATAATCATTTTGAAGTTCTACCAGAAGGTTGGGTCCAAGTAACTCATAACAGTGGCATGCCTTTGTATTTACATCGAAAAACACGGGTAATCTCTACATCCAGGCCTTATTTTTTGGGTACCGGAAGTGCAAGGGTTAGTTCTTAATGAAAGAATGATGATCAAGCTTAAAATTTGTCGTTTTATCTATAAAAGAAACATGCCATACCGGTTGGTTCGATTCCATGCCTTAATTATCGTCGCGCTCTGGATGAAGAAACTGAAGCGGAATTACAAAAATCTCAGGAATTAGTTAAAAGTAATGAAATTATCGCCTCAGAAGTTATTCCAGCTGAAATCAATAAGTGTCCGTTCGAGTTTTCAACCAATAACGTTGTCGAGGATAACAACAGCGAAGGCATCCATGATAATGTATCAGTGGCAATTAATGTTAGAGAATCGGTAGCGCCGAAAGTGAAAGCGACGGCAAACTCCACGGAGAAGGATAAATTGCGTAAACTTGTGCCAGCTGCCAAAATTATAACTGTCCATGAGAACATTCAAAAGGAATCTCTTACACCCGATCAGTTTAATGAGTACTGTAGAAGACTTTTCAAATTTCGTGTAATTCGAGTTTTACGTTTCCGATCTTGGAATGCTAGGCGAAAATTTACAAAAAATCGTAAACACCTCAAAAATATACAGCGTCCTACTTTGCCGGACGGCACAAAACTTATCAAATTTCCAATATTAGTACCCACGGGAGAAGCTAACGCGAATCCGCGTACACGTAAAGAGTGGATTATGAATCCTAGTGGTAAAAGTTATGTTTGCATTCTGCACGAATACGTGCAACATGCCTTAAAAAAACAACCGACTTACGAGTTTAAAGAATTGCAAAATGCTGCAACTCCTTATTCGGCCACAGTTTCTATAAATGATCTGAAATATGGCACTGGCTATGGTACGAGCAAGAGACAAGCGAAATCAGAAGCTGCTCGTGAAACTCTTGAAATACTTATACCGGAAATGAAAGATAAGATAACTGGAGTTAAACAGGATAAAAGTGCAGTCGCTAAAAGTAACCAAAAGGACTTGTCGGTAAGTATTAAGAAACGATGTTTTTATTAGACTCATTGATTACATAATTGCGTGCGTTTAGGTTTTTGATGACATCAAAATAGAAGATCCTCGCGTAGCCGAATTTTGCAATAAAACAACGGAGCCATCACCGCATGCCATTCTTTTAACATGTTTGCAAAGGAATTTCGGCTTAGGGGATGATGTGCATATAAACTATGAGATAAATCGTACCAGTAACAAGAAGAACGAATTCACCATGACTGTGGGTAAACATACAGCCAAAGTATTGTGCAAAAATAAACGCGAAGGCAAGCAGTTGGCATCCCAGGCTATATTACAGGTAAGAGGATCTAATTGCTATGTAACAATCGTACTGTCAAGTGAACTGGAAACGAAAACATCCAAAAGGCTGTTGATGTCTAAAAAAATTTGAAAAAATTGCAGTAGAGATGATCGTTAAGCTCCTTTATACAAATATTGCTTTATATATGAGAAGATGAGAGAATTCAGTTTGCGTAATCGGACAGACCGACGAAGAATCTAATTTTCCCTGATCTCACAAGTAATTAAAATCGTCAAAGCTATTCTTTGTTAAGGTTCCACAGCTGTCGAACTCGTTACCACTCCATATCCAAATTTTTGTTAGTCCGAGTAGATTTAAAGTAGCTATAAAGGCCTTTTGTAATCTACAACTGCATCTGGATTTTGGCTTTATTTCTTATATTGTACAATACTACTATGTTATCTGTATCTCTACTTGTACTGTTCTTCGTGACTGGCCCGAAAGAGACTCTATAGTCAGATATGGCAGAAAAATTAATAATTATAGTAATGATTATTATTGTATAATTGAATTGTCATTAAAAATTATTATTATTAATTAATAAGCTAAGTAAACTAAACATGTTAACAAATACTTACAACAAAGCTTGAGATATCATTTATGTGATTCAGTGTACTGTGTTTTTTTCATTTCCCACATTCTGTGTTTCTTTTAAATAAATTAATTTTTATTTGTTTTACTAGATCTTACATCCTCACATCAAAACTTGGGGCTCTTTGTTGCGTTTGTATGGCAACAATTCAATCAAAACTTTTAAAGAGAAAAAAATGGAAGAACAAGAAATTACAGTTCTGCAAAGTAAAGCTGCCATCAATCAACCTAATTATGCCATTTTAAATAAATTGAAAGCGGAAATGTTGAAATTGGCCGAAAAAAATAAATCGGTACAAAGCAAAGGTACCTTCGTACCGCCAAACGATATCGATTTACCTTCATCGTCCGGTTCGAATTTAAATAACGTCGATCTCTAAGAGAACAAAAACTAATACACGCACGAAGAATAAAATAATCTTTCAAGTTTTATATAGTAAATAATTAAAAAGAACGCATTTAGAACAACTTATACGTCGAACAAAAACCGTCATTATAAGGTGTCAATATTCGATTTTTTTTTTCTCAAATTTAAGCAAATTGTTTTGTATATCATACATTATTGCGTGGTTGAACAAATAACTTTAAACTAAGTAAATCGCGAGATCGCCTTATGGTTTGTTTTCAAAGTTTTTCAAATTGTGAATAAAACTGCTGAGAACTATTGCCCGTTTTTTGTATTTAACTTTTTTTTCACCCCAATTGGTCTATAAAAGCAAACGCAGAGATATAAAACAAATAAATAATGCAATATTTCCTTCAAGTTGCGATTTGCGTCTATAACTTTTAATCGTTTATAGCGTTATTTATTTAACGCCTATTCCTTACCTTGTTACCTTATCCAAAAAGTATCGAGATAAAAAGTTTCACCTTCCAATGGCAATATTACTAGTAATGGAGTTTGTAGAAAATCATATTTTCCATTAACAATATTATAATATAATAATGAATGAAATATTTTGGTACTCTTATATCGTGGTTAGCTACTTAAAATGCTTGCAACATTAAAGTTTTAAATTTTGAAGTTTTTACTAAAATTATTTGTCAACAAGATTTCATTTACTTATTTAAATCAAATAAAAGTCACCTGTATTCAAAAATTTAAATGAGTAAAAAAAGCAAGTAAAGAAGTTAATTTACATTTTTTAAGTTAAATTGTCGTTTCATGTTTGCTTACAGTATTTACTTAATTTTAATTTCACTTAGTCAATTTGTCAATATATAACGATACAATTTTTTTAATAAAAAACAAAAAAAAATGCAATATTACAATATTCTTTAAGGTCGCAAAGATTTTGTATGGCAATGCTATGTGGAGGGTTTATTTTTTAAGAGAAAGAAAGAAAGAGAGAAAGAGAGATATGGCAGAAAATAAACGGAATGAACTGAGAATAAATAGAGATAACAAAATAGCAATAAATTAATAGCATCAGTGCTTAGAGATTTTTGGTTTTGAGCAGCAAAACATTGTGAAAATTCGCAAACAATTTGTTAAATAAATAAATAATACAGCAAAAGCCTTAACATAACACAGTAGTTAAATCTGAAAAATTTAATCTAATTTAAAGAAAAAACTACTACTGCTCTGCTCTGCTTTTCTGGATTGCATTTTATTGCCAAGAACAAGGGATTTCGTTAAGAGTGTTCGGCAAGAACAGTAAGTTGAGTTAACTTTTTACTTTTACTCTTTAATTATTATTTATATTCATTCATAAGTTATTTTAATATTAATATCAAAGGCTAATTATTTAATAAAACCTACTTTTCTTTCGGAGGTTTTGATGGTCTTCCAAATCTGTATGTTTTAAGTCGTGCACATAAAATATGTACGGGTATATGTGTGCCTACATCGTCTGCGAAATAAAGGCAATCGTATTTGTACGTCGTCAGAATTCTTTATCTTGCCTGCCTTGTTGTGGTAAAGTTTGGTTATTTGTGATGTAAGGTAGATATTGTACACACGATTCTTCTTTTTTATTTAATAATTATACAAATTGTGAAAAACTTATGCCTTCACATCACATGTTAGTATGTATTGGAATGTACGCGTAGTCAGGATTCGTGTCGATTAGAAATCTATTTGCAAGACGGCTTAATGTTAAAAGGCGCATTTCTGGCGTAGAAAATTAACAGTTTCTTTTTCACATGCTCATTCCCTGTAAAGAAACTTATCCGAAAACTATAATTTATTGTAAATAGCTTTAAGGTTATTAGAAGGAACCGACCTATTTACAATACGATATGAACTTGTTACGTCGCAAACGTTAGCATATATAGAGTACGCAGAATCTCTAAAAAATAATTAGTAATTTCTTTTAGCCTCAGCTCAGAACTGGCGTTTTTACTTTCCCAAAAATAGAAATTTTAACTTGAAAAAGTTTATTTATTTACAATATCATTTGTGCCATTAAAATCATTGTATATGATTTTATTTTAAATGAATTCTGTCATGAGAAGAAATATTCTAAAAGAAAAAATTTATTATTAAATCAGTAAAAAAAATTTTCTGGTGGGCACAGTTTCTTAATTGCTGCAAAATTTAACAAAACGGAAACTTAATATCCACTCTACAAGTTTAATAATTTATCCTTTGGTAACACTTTAGTTTTCGCTGCCCCTTTGATATTTGCAAACAATTTATTAACTAAAGAAATAATACAGAGGAAGTCTTCGCACAATACTATCAAATAGTAAAATATTTAAATTTAATCTTATTTAACGAAACCGTTTCCTTGGGTTGACTTTATGGCCAAGAACAAGGGAGTTCTTTACAACGTTTCAAATGAGAAATGTCTAAGAACCATAAGTTGAGTTACTTTTTCTTTTCTTCTCTTAATGTTAGCATCAAAGGCAAATTTTTTAAATAAAATTTACTTTTCTTTTTGAGGTTTTGAGACTTTTCCACTTTTATACGTTTTGAGTCGTGCGTACGACAATGTGTGTACTAAACTCGTCTGCGAGAAAAGCGTTTTCGCATTTGTACCTCGCCCTTTATAATGTCTCGGAATCTTTTATAATGTCTGTCATGATTGTGGTGAAAATTAATTGGTAGATACGATTTATAACTCGTAAGAAAAAAATTCAAAAGCGAAATCTCATTGCTTATTATTATATTATTTTATATATTGTTTTGGATAATTATAAAATGTCTATATAAATAAAGACAACTCCATATCTGCTTCAACAGTTTCGCAAACAAGTCAACTTGGGCGCATTCCCAAAACAGTGAGGTTGTACTTTGTTTGTTGGTATGTTTTTCTTTTCTATGTGCATATATATGGAAATTAAAATAATTTTTTATTTTTCCTATAAAATAATTAACTAAAATCATTTTCATACGAATCTTAATGGAGCAACTTGTTAAAGCTTTCGAATTATTATTCTCTAATATCCTTGCAAAATTCGCAACTGAAAATCCCATAAATTATTTATATTCCTGATCGATATACAATACAACGTTCCTGTGACAGCTACTAGCCGTAAAGTGCTTATTAGACGCTTGGAAGCTGCTATTTCTCGCAAATTATATTCAACTAGTAAAGAGGTTAATCGTCGTACTATACATGTTTGTACGTTCGAAGTCTTGAAAGACATGAAGTGCGCGTAATAGGTATTTCTTTGGAAATGCAATGCTTGGCATGGTTTCGAAATAAGCTGTTGCTTGAAAAAAATTTACAATTCCATGTATTTTTAGTAGTAACTCGTATCTTGTGGCACAGAGCTCCTAAGGATCGGTCTAAAAATGTTTAAGTTAAGTCACGAATAAGAAGAAGAGACTTGCGACAGTATGTGCGCAAGATTCACTCGAAGACAAATAATTGAATATAATTCTGTGTAAACCGATTTTCAAATTAACTAAAACTGCTAAGCTATAAAATTATCGATTTAGTCAAAACAACAAAAATGCCGAAAATGTTATCTAAAATACGTTATTGTGGCAAGAACACATTCATAACAATAAAAGTTTATGAGGAAATCCAGAGAATCATAACGTATATATCAATCATATGCAGTTACCTGGTTAATCTATTTTTAAATGAAAGATTTCAATTTACCTTAAAAATATTGAAGCTCTCTCTCTCTCTCTCTCTCTTCTTGTAAATATATCTAGGTGTCGAACAAATTTAAGTGATTCGGGGGAGTTGAGACTGCGATTTGTAAATTTCGTAGTTTACTATCGGTCGGTCTATAATAATAAAATTTTAGAAAAATGTAGTTCATTGGGGAAAAAAGTTCCAATTTTAAAAATTGACTTGTAGAATGTGATTCTTAGGATTTAAAATGTACAAGTCTTAATCGACCAAAAGTTTGATACTGGCTAGAAGCAGTTTCACCATATAACAAGAAAAATCAAAACATTTTGATGGAATTCATTATTCAGTTTATATAAAGGTAGGCGTACGCCCTTCAATATAAAATCTACTTGTTTTGAACTGGCCTAAGATTTTGACAAAACGCGGCGATGAATTAATTATAAATGGAATGGATTTATTCCTGATCACATGACCAGTTGACAGCGAAGTGCTGTTTCTTCTCGAAAAACTTGAAGCTCTTACTTTTGAACATATATGTAATGTGATATGCGGGCTTTTTATTTTGTGCTTTAATGTGTAGAAGCAGAAGTATCTTCACCGTTGCTTTTCGCCTGCTCTTGAATGCACTTAACAGTCAATAGACGATTGCTTTCGATACAACAGAGGTCTTGCGAGGCTTTCCCAGCCATCCTTAATTTTTACCAGAAACGTTTGTTCTAATTAAAAACGTATTTTTAATCACGACATGAAATTATTTTTAATAATTTCCTTTCTTTCTTAAGGAACGTCACTTGGACCATCGCAACGTACAATTAGTTGAGTATTTCACAAAAACCTTTTAAGCGCTAGTACGGTCTACAAATCATTTTGATATTTTGTCGATAACAGTGCACGTAACAGATATTAGTGTGGAAGATATTTTTCATACATAAATCGTCTGAATAAATCAAAGAGAATATAAAGCTAAACGATATGAATATAAAAATGGCTTGAACAATATCTACACAATAACTCTTATAGCCACTGCTATTTACAGCTCTTTGATTTGTTAGTTAATCTAAGTTATGTTTAATTGGAATTAAAGCTTTGTATTAGCTGCATATTGATTTCTTTTTCTAATCCTCGTGAGCTTACGAGTTTTTTTTACAAAGACACCGCAGTGCTTTTGTTCATTGTGGGTCGGTCGTTCAGAAATGATGTGTTCAAACCGACAATTGCAAAGTATGTCTGTACTTGCGTTATTGGGAAATTTCTTCGTTGTCTATTCAACTCAAAATCTTTATCAATTTCCAACTTGCAGCTCCACCTCTTTTGACTGTGTAAGAGAAGCACTCGGAATCTTCTGTTCTGCGTTTCATAAAGAACTACTAAGGAACTACTGGAGTAATTGTCTTAATTGGCTCATTAATTGGTTTAATTGGTTTCATTGTAGATTATCAATGAGTGGTTATTCTAACTTTTGCTTAATGATAAGATATATGCAAAAAAGGGCTAGGTATAAAAAATATGTGTAAAATTACAGCGTAGTTGTATTGTTGCCTTTCATTATATGAGAAACCTTTCTGAAAATGTTTTTAGGTACCAGCATTATAGGCTCAAAGTATGGTGTTCTCAGTCGGTTTCGTTTTATTTGATTTTCTTAAATTTAGGTTTTTCATATATATTGAGTTCTTGATTAACATCCTCAACTTTTACGCCTGCCTGGTAATATGCTTAGAATTTTTTCCTTCAATGCTTTTACGTGCATCGGTGGCAAATGTTTAAAGGAATATTTCTTCAAAGGTTTACTTTCCTTTTCAGCCGTATCTGCTTCAACGTTTCCATCACAAATCCAATGCCTTGATGAAGGCAGTGGTGGTGGTCTTGGCGGCAAAGCTCCCTCACATTGATCTAAAATGTGATAATTATTGATTATTTTTCTCTTTTTGAACTCATTCTTTTTTTTTTGATTGAAAATAATAAATAGCGTCTTTGTACATTACGCCGAATTTTAAAAATATTTAAAGTTCTCTGTCTAGAACTGCACTTTATGAGTCTACATACACACATCGTAAAAATTGATATAAAAGAAGAGAATTTGGTCAAGCTGAAGCCTTCCCAAGCTTTCAATAAAATTTGAGGGACCTATAAAATGAAAATTTGTCCACATTTTTTTTAATAACTTGCAACTTACAAGAGGTATCTATATTTGTAGATAAACATTTATGAACATTATCTAACCTTTATCTATCTACAGTGCAAAACATTGATCGATTGTTGTGCTGGCTTCCCCGCAGACTTTATCCGGAGACATGTTATGAAAATGAATGCAAGCGAAGGCAAACAAAAAATATATTCCGATGGAATTTAAGTTGTTCGTCATTTTGCATTGCTATAGTCCATTGTCTTTTAATTATTACGTGAATTAACTTGACGGTACATTTGAAGCTCCCTTCGCAAAGCTGTTTAGTATTAGTAAGCATTATTAGTCGACTGTGAGCTCGTGGTTAGAGGTATACATGGAGCAAAATTACCTCTTAATTTCTCTTCAGACGTCGGCGCTACCGAATTATCGATGCGTTGTTCCTTTACGTAGGCGGCAACAATGCGCTTCCTTCTCGGAGTTTGGAAGTAGCTTGCGGCGGCGCCGGTATACATAAAGTATGGAGCTTCGTTTTCAGAATTTGCATCATTGCGAATACTAACTGGTGGACATAGTATCTTCTCACCTTGATGAGTACTGCTATTTCTACGTAGATTTTCTTCATTAAAAGCGGTAACCATCGCGAGGGCCTTTTCTTGGCTGTGTCCCAAATCACTTGCAATTACTTCGATATCTTGTTCTTTACCACGTTTGTGAACAGTCTTTGGTGTGTGTATTTCGAATTCAATTTTAATATTTTTGATAGACTGTTGTGATTCGGACGAATTGATTTCATTAATACTAACATTACTTATGTTTACTCTTCCATTATGGTGACTATTTTGAACAAAAGGTTGTGACAATCTTTTTTTCTCGGACTCAACAAAAAGTGTCGGCGAAGGTTCACGATTGCGTTCAGAGTTTGGCGAGTTATTTTCTAAATTAGTTGCATTGTTTTCCCTTGCCTCTATACTTCGCACGTTTTGAGAATTCTGATGAATATAATTAAAGATATCGTATTCTTTCAGACGATTTATAAAATTGCATCGGAGTTTCCCTTCAAGATATTCCATTAAACATTTTATCACGCTTGGTCTGGTAACGGTCTCTTCTACGCCCTCACATGATGTTTGCTGAAACGTATCTTCTTGTCTCTCGTAAGGACCGCGGTTATACTCGCTGGATGTGTTGGAGCGATTTCTTTGACATGCGTCGAATTCTCTGTTTAGAGATTCACAACTATTTTCTCTTTCGTTGATGTCCTTTCTGACGTACTGTCGATGTGCGGAATTTTGTTTACTGCATTCAACGCATTGAGTTGAACAGAATGTTTGTTGCCCATTTTTGATACAAACTGAACGACATCCAAGCGAATAACTACTTCGTTCTCTTACGGGTTGTGCAAAGTATTGCGTTTGATGGTTCTCGTCGCGTGAGTTCTTGGCTTTTTTCCAATTTTCGAAATTATTCTCATATCCTTTTGCTTCTTCGTGGTTAAGAGAAACATAGCGCCTGTTTCCAGGGGGTATCTCATCTTTTACATTCTGTGGAATATATTTATAAGTATGGAATTCATCGCACCGGTTTCCACCATTGTCATGTCTACAAAGCCGATGTACGCTTCGTTTCATTATATTCATGTCATCCATTGTTGAATGCGGCGAGTAGTCATATTCCTTGTAAAAGTCGCGTGACCGTCCATCATTTTGTTTGTTTGTTGCTGAATAACAAGATTCTTGATTATGTTGGTATTTATTGTTTGAAGTTTCGGCAAGCATTTCATCTTTACCAAGTTGTTTTCGAATTTCCATCTCTTGAGGAGAGCGTTTCATTCGCTCTCTTGAGTAATACATTCGAGGCATTCGATTGCTTGAATGAGGCTCATTATCGAGATCCCAATGATTTTCTCTATGTAATTCATCTTGTGTTCGCGTTGCGTCATAGATTCGTTCTTTTCTCATTTCATCAATTGAAGTACCCCGGTTGCAAACGCGCATAAAATAAGTCGAGCAATTATTTGCCACGTCATACCCTTGCATCATCTCTGCGGGCTGCGAAAAACGTGGTTGCTCTCTTCTGCACTGGCAAGAGTGACAAAAAGTTGCCATTTCTTGAGAAGTACCTGGAATAGGATGATCTTCCCTCCGTTGTTGCGGCACATGATAGAGAAGAGCGGGTGGGGGATAAGTTTTCGTTTCAATTAACATTTCTTTGCTACCGTACTCAGTCGTGCGGTAGTCCGTTTGCGTGGTCACATCTTCATTGGTCTTGTCGATTGCTTTGTAATTATTACTTACATGTAATTTATGGTGTTCTAAATTCCCGGATTGAGTTTCTTTGTCTTTCATTAAAATTGTTTCCGCTTCCTCCGTTTGCTCTTTTCCATTGCTTTGCTTAGCGTCTATATATTGATTTCGTTCTGTTTCGACATAACTGGGTCTGGTTCTAGCGTATCTAGTTTTTTCTTCCTCTTTCTCACCGTTCGACGTAAGCAATCCTTTTTGAGCTACGGTGTTATCAACAAAGATGTTCAGTTTATCTTCCGATAAAGTCGTTTCAGCGTCCCTACTTTGCCTTCTTTCTTTCTGCTCAACTTTGCTTGTTGACGTTTCTTCGACTTTCGTGATTCCTCTGTCCCTCTCACCAGTAGCTTTAAGTAACGTGTCTTGCTTTTCAATTACATCTATCGTCTGTCGTTCTAATGATGTATTTTGCTCTTCATTTCCCCTTTCAATGAGTGATGTTACTGCTGGCTTTATTCCTTTAAGCTTTTTCTTTCCTTTTAGCGCATTCTGCATTAAGTAAAGAGGCGGACATTCCCCTTCTTCAATGGTTGATGTGATTGCATCCTTGGTTTTTGCACTGTCTTTCCCAACATTGTATCGTAGGCCATCGAAGATTTCTTCTTCTGCTTTTTTACCCTCTTCCGTTGTTAATCCGTTTTCGTCTTTATTTACACTTTGTTTTTTAATCACTTCCTCGTCTAATATTGCTGTATCTGCGGTCCTTCTTTTATCTTGCTCCTCGCTACTTACAACTAACGCATCGTCGTTCTCAGTAGCATCATAGGCGTCCAATAGTACCGTTCCAATATCTTTCACTTCCTCCTCTCCTTTCTTGTCGTCTTTTGTTGACACTTTCAGGGGAACTACTTCAACATCTTCATGTTTTTCTGTCTGTTCCTCGATGCCGTTCGTTTTTAATATAGTGCCTTCTATGCTGCCAGATCGGTGTTGATCAATATCTACATGATTGATTAAGTATTCATCTGTTTGAGTCTTCCTGCTCTCTCGTGTGAGTAACTCGTTCGTATTTTCCGTAGCATCTGTTAGATTTGTATCGTTATCCTCTAAAGAATTTGCTCTGAGGATTTCAACATCTGCCTTCTCTTTCTTAACGTTATTAACAGTAGAACTGTCCCTTTTTTCTTCATTCGCTTCTGTTTCATTTTCCTTAAAACTTGTTTTCTCTCCGCTTTGCTCACTATTTCCCTCTTCATAGGTGCTTCTCTTGGCACGATTTCGTTCGTCGTTACCATTCTGGTTATCATTATTATCAGTAGAGAAATCCTTTCCGTTTTCGTTTCCGGTTTCGTCCCTTAC